CCCAAACAGGAATGATTTTGACTCATTCACACCAGACAACTATTGTTGTGTTAGCTCTGGACATTTTTTAATTTGACCATCTAAGGGAAAAGAGGTCAGTGCCCTGACTAAATAGTCAGGTATTGCATGTTTTAACAGTTCTTGCATCTCACCAGTTGCAGATCACTGGTCTCAACAATCGCTGTGGTTACTGTTGATGTTTAGTAAGCTTTAAATACTTTATGACTTACCCTTTAATAAACCTTGCATTCCACAGGGACGTGAACTTGGAGCACTCCATGTCAGACACTTGGACACACACAGTGGCTACACACGTTCATTTTGACAGTTAACTCTCAACAGTTCTAAATCTGTTGAGTTCTCTTTGGGCACAGGTCACATTTCCACCTGCCGTGTCACACGTTCTTGTGTTTACGCAGTTGATTCTAAACAAGCAATGAGAGCCCAGTGATTTCAAGTGCAAAGAAATTGAGTTTGAGCAATTTCACATCCTTTATTCTCTAGGACCACTTGAAGGTTCTATTTGTCTGGAAATTTTAAACAGTGAGCCAAACTGCAGGTTACTTGTATTTGGTAAGCTCAAATCTTAGTTCAAATATGAAATATCTTTGCTGGATTTGGCCCATATCTTTTATTTACTTTTTAAAATTTTACTCAGTGATTTTTGCAGAGAGACATGGATTTGTTGTTCTACTTATTGATGCATTCACTGGTCGATTCCTGTGTGTGTCCTGACCAGGGACGGAAACTGCAACCTCGGTGCACACAGATGACACTCTAACCATGTAAGTTACCTGGCCAGGGCAAGCCATACCTTTTAGGTGGAAATGTCCTCTCCCTTTAAACCGTTATCCTTATTGCTTATTATTCAATTGTCCTGTTATTATTCATTACTGTGACAGACCAGTGTATAAAGACAAGTTTTGCTTTAAAAAATTAATCAGTGACCTGGCTGGTATAGTTCATTGGATTGAGTGTGGGCTGTGAACTACAGGGTCACCAGTTCGATTTCCAGTCAGGACACATGACTGGGTTACAGGCCAGGTCCCCGGGGGGGGCCACATGAGAGGCAACCACCATTGATGTTTCTTTCCCTCTCTTTCTCCCTCCCCTTCCCCTCTCTCTAAAAAAAATTTAAAAAATAAAAAATATTTTAAAATAAAATAATTAATTAATGGAATTAAATAGTATTCATTCATTATTTTTCCCTTGATTGGGCTGTGAGATCTATATTCTGTATGTTACTGGTGTGCTTATATACATGATGTTCAATAAAAGAAAAATCTCACTCGCTCTATTGCTTTTCCAGCAATGAGTATTATTTGTTGCTCTTCATTACTGAAACTTTGTGTCTCATAGAGGAGCGGGTGTTCAAACAAGATCCACTCTGGGTGTTAAATGAGCCACGCAGGCCACCGCATGTAAGCATTTAATACCTGATACCTAGTAGGCGTCAAACAAACATTTATTATCATTGATGCTCCACTGACAAGCTATACCTGAGAGCAAAGAGCAGTTTTTGCATTTTTAATAGTTCGAAAATAAAGAAAAATTATTTTGTGATACAGGAAGTTTACATGAAATTCAAATTCCAGCCTCCAAAAATAAGACTTCCCCGGCGCTCAGCCAGGCCCGTTTGTGGGTGTGTCGCCTCCTGCCGTTTGGGCACTTAGAAGCAGAGAGCTGACTCACTGTGGCAGAGATTGTGTTTGAACTGCTTGCGATATGGCAGCCCTTTAAGGAAAAAGTTTGCAGACACCTGCTCTAATTTGCTAACCCCTCTCTTCTAAATCTTCAACTCTGGAAGCATACTAGGGGGCTTCCAGGTTCAAAGACTTAGGATCCCCCGCCCTTGCTTTTTTAGCCAACCACCCTCAGGTGGACCCCTCCCCTTCCTACCCAGGGTCTGGGGTGCGGTTGGTTTTCCAGTACCTGGTGCCCTCTCGTGGGCACCATAAGCAACTGCCTCCTCAACCTCCTTCCTTGAGGACCTCCCCCCAAGGTCTCCATGAAAGTAGGAAGTTGACTTGGTGTCTTCTTCTTGCCCTAATTCTGCCTCCTGCCAAGTCCTCCAGGGCTTCCCTGTCCTGGGATCACATTCCCACCATGCCGCCATGTTTTACACACTTGATCAGGGTTCTCAATGAATTAAATCATACTTGGCCAGTGTCAAGGATGTCAACATATTTGAATAGCAGTATTACTTTCCAAAGTCCAATCTTATATATAACTGCGCCTCTTAATTTGTGCTTTCACCTGTATATATGCCTTGCATTTGTATAGCACGCCATTCTTTGTCCCTGCCCCCCAGAGGTTTTGACCTGCATCATTTCATTTGATACCTGCAAGGACTGGCATTTCACAGTAAGGAAATAGGACAGGGAAGGTAAGTAGTATTTATGTTTAGACTAACAGAATATTGGGCCAAAACAGAGAAGACTCAAGTATAGTGGTGTGCTGGCTCTGGCTGGTGAGACTTAATGGCATCATGTGGGTAGCTTGATGGCCACTATGGGGGTATTTACACCACAGGAATTGGCGAATGCTATAAATTAGGGGTTTCCCGTCTCAGGGGAACTTCTTGTCAGACATTAACCAGCCCACTCAGCAGACTCCAGCTTCCTTGATCTGATCTGATTCTGCTGCATGTTCCAAACACCTCGCTTGCTTCTTCATAGCATCTTAAAGGGGTTTCTCTTATTAGAACAGTGTGGCCTATGAGCATGGAGCTGGGGTCAAGTTTCAACCTAGCACTTGATAACTTCATGCTGCCTCTCCTGGTCTTTTTTTTTCCCCCTATAAAACAGAAACAATATACTCTGTGTGGATCAAAGGAGGGAAGTGTGGCCACTGGGGTTTGGGGGTGTGAGCAGAATCTCAAAAACATAGCAGCCAGAAAAAAAGGACAGTTCTCCTGGAGAACATACCCATGCCAGCTGTGCCAGGGACATTGGAAGATAAGTCACTCCCTTTCAGGGCATTCATTCATTCATTCATTCATTCATTCATTCATTTCCTCTACCAAATACTATTTATCAAACACTTTACATAACAGGCCTTTATCTATTTCTTCACAGATATTAGAATGATGCTTGAACCTTCCTGCAAAAAAGTAGTGCTTATTTATGTCCAGTGTTACCTCTCTAAGATGTCAGATATGAGATACTAAATTCAAAACAAACTATCTCAGTTCCTATTGCAAATGCAGCAAATTCTGCTGCTATATCCATCATTTCCAGAAGTCCAACCTTGTTTTCAGAGTTGACTACTGGTGGTTGAAAATGACATGTGTATCCAATTGCCTTTTTGATGTCTCTCCATGGGGGTCTTATGAGCATCTCTGACATCACGTGGCTAACTGAGCTCCTGCTCTTCCCCCAGACCTGCTCCTCCTGCTGCCGATCCTGTTTTACTAATCAGAGGCTCCGTCCTTCCAGGTGCTCAGGTCAAAACATTGCACAGTCCTTAAATTTTCTCCTGCTCTCCCACCCCACATCCAGCACCAGCAGTCTTACTGACTCTGCCTTGCTCCCTCTGCCCCAGCCACACAGGCCTCCACACTGTTTCTCCAACACACCAGGCACAGACCTGCCCCAGGGCCTTTGCACTGGTCATTTCCTCTACCTCAAAACCCTTCCCCCAGCCCTGGCTGAGCAGCTCAGTTGGTTGGAGCATCATCCTGTACACTGAAAGATTATGAGTTCAATTCCCCGGTCAGGGCACATACCTAGGTTGTGCTTTTGGTTCCCCTGTCCAGGTGCATATAGGAGGCAACCAATCGATGTTTTTCTCCCACACCGATGTTTATCTCTCTCTCTCTCTCTCTCCCCCTTCCTGTCTCTCCAATAGCAATAAACATATCCTTGAGTAAGAAATAAATAAATAAATAAATAAATAAATAAATAATAAAATTTTTAAACATTCCCCCAGGTATCTATAGGGCAGGGCACACTCCCAACTTTAGAAAAAAATATTTCTCGATTATGCTGTTTGCCCAAATGCCATCTTCTCAGTGAGACCTTCCCTGACATTCTTTCTATTTATTGTTGTTGTCCTATGATAGCCGTCCCAATTTTTCCCCGTTGCTTTCCTCTGCCCCGGCCCCCCCCCCCAGTCAGTCCCCACCCTGTTGTCCCTGTCCACGGGTCACTTATATTTGTTCTTTAACTAGGCCCTTCCCCTTCTTTCCTGACATTCTATTTAAAGCTGCAGCCTTTCCCCCCGTTTTCACCTTCCGCTCTCCCCCTCCACGCTTTATCTTTCTCTGTGGTGCTCACCAACATTGGAAACACGTTTTCCTGTATGTGCCCTGTTTCTCCCCCACCAGACTGGGAGCTCCACACAGGCACTGTGTCTACCTCACTTTGTAAAGAGGCCAGTGCTTGGTGCACAGTAGGGGTTCGGTGCAGATTAGTTGAATGGCTGAAAATCAAGGCCCAGGCAGGGGAGCTAAGTTGCTCACAGCATCATCTCAATACGCCAAGGTTGCGGGTTGGATCCCCACTCAGGACACAAAGAAGAATCAGCCAGTGAATTAATAAGTAAATGGAAAAACAAATGGATGTTTCTCTCTCTCCCCTCTCCTTCCTCTCTCTTTAAAATCAATCAATAATTTTTTTAAAAAAGAAACTCAAAAGGATTTACCTTAGCTTGAGACTAGAGACCATGAACATATTTTTTCAATGAAGTTATAATTGGCATACAATATTATACTACTTTTAGGTGTATAACATAGTGATTTGATGTTTTTATATATTACAAAAGGATCATGATTAGTCTAGTTACCACCTCTCACCGCACAAAGTTATTGCATTGTTGATTGTACTCACTATGCTGAACATTACATCCCTGTAGGTATTTATTTTATGACTGGAAGTCTGCACCTCTCAATCCCCTTCATTAATTTTGCTCGTCCTCCCCACCTTCCTCCCCCCTGGCAACCACCAGTTTGTTCTCTGTGTCTATGAGTCTCTTTGTGTTGTTTTGTTTGTTCTTTTTTTTTTTTTAAGATTCCACATGTAAGTGAAGTCATGTGGTTTTTGCTTTCTCTGTCCGACTTATTTCATTTACCTAATACCATCTGGGCCCACCCATGGTGTTGCAAATGGCAAGACTTCATTGTTTTTTTATGGCTGTATAATATTCCGTTGCGTGCATGAACCACATCTTCTTTATCCACCCTGTCTGGTGATGGCTGCTTCCATGACTTGGCTGTTGGAAATAATGCTGCAGTGAACACAGGGGTGTGAATATCTTTTCAAATTAGTGTTTTCGTTTTCTTTGGAATTGCTGGGTCACATGATATATGTATTCTTAACTTTTTTGAGGAACATTCATACTCTTCTCTCTAGTGCCGGCACCAATTTGCAATCCCACCAACAGTGATGGAGGCTCCCTTTTCTCCACATCTGTGCCAACACCTGTTATCTTTTATTTTATTGATAACAGCCATTCCGACAGGTGAGGTGACATCTCACGGTGGTTTTGCTTTGCATGTCTCCGCGGGCATGTTTGTACCCCAAACACCTTCCGGCATAAAGAATACCCCAGGTCAGAGGTTGGCAACATTCCTCCCGTGGGCCAAACCCAGCTCAGGCCTGGTTTTGTGCAGCCTGTGAGTGAAGAGTAAATCTTACATTTTTTTTTAACTGGTTGAAAAAATTTTTAAGACTATTTTGACATTGAAAATGATACGAAATTCAAATCTCAGGGTCCACAAACAGTTTTACTGGGACACAGCCACACCCACTTGTCACGCAGCATCGGTGGCTGCTTTTCTGCCACAAAGGCAGAGTAGTCAGTTGCAACAGAAACTGTCTGACCAACCATCACAGCTGAAAATATGTACTATCTGATCTTTTTCGGAGAAACCGTGCCAAGTCCTGCTCTAATGTCAAAGGAGAAAATCATGTTGCCAAAGGGAAAACTAAGAGCCAGAAGACCAAAACGAGTTTTTCAAGGCCCCGCATTTCTGAAGGGCTCTTCACTTGCCAAGTTCTCCAAACATATCTCCTGGGCTTAGGCGGGAACGGCAAGGGCACTGACAAAGACCTCCATAAACTGAAGGTCATCTGGGCTACCAACCTGACCTTGAAACAGAAGTCTGCACACATCTGCACACACCCTTCTGATTTTGCTAAGCCCAGGAGATTTTCAACTGCCCCTGTTAAAAAAAAAAAAAAAAAAAGTCATGTTTCTTCTAGAAACCTTGAGTGTGGACTTTGATTGCAGTCACTGCAGCTGCGCCCTGAAGCCCCATTTTGACTTCACTCCTTTAGGAGGCTCTTTACTGGCGCAACCACAAGTGGGTAGCAAAAGCCAGTGCTCACCGCGGAGACAAAGAGCAGCTTCACGGCGGCTGGGGGCTGGGGGCTGGGGCAGACGCCGGGAGGGAACGCTCCGAGGATGGAGTTTCTCTCAGGAATGATGAGAACGATCGGGAGTTGCTGGTGATGGTCCCACAGCCCAGAAAACACACGGAACATCACTGCATTCTGCACTTAATTTAAAGGGGTAGATTTTACATTACACGCATTATGTCTCAATAAAAATTAAATTTAACAAGACACCAAACATGTGTTTATTACCAAATAGTAGTGCTATGACATAAGTAAATGGGAAAGCAAAAAATAAACTTCACCTACTACCCTCCCTTCCCCTGGTCAAATTCCCTTCATGTTCAACTTTCCCTCCCGGTTCTTGTTCATCCGCACGGCCCTGTCTTGCACAGCTATAAAACAGATAGCAACGTGACCCATCCGTTGGTCCGGTCATGGTACAAAATCATTTTTAAAAAACCTCTAGGGGTGGAGAGTGGGAAAAATGCGTTGAAGGAGTCAAAAGGTACCAAATTTCAGTTATAAAATAATTAAGCCCGGGGATGACTATAGGTAATAATACTGTCGTGTGTATCTGAAAGTTGCTAAGAGAGTGTTTATTTTCATTTACTGATTTTAGAGAGAGAAAGGCAGGAAGGGAGAGGGGGAAAGAGACAGAAACATCAATTTTGTCATTCCAGTTATTTATGCATTCTTTGGTTGCTTCTCATATGTGTACCCTGACAGGGGACCGAACCAGGAACCTTGGTGTACCAAGATGATGCTCTAACCAACTGAGCTACCTGGCCAGGGCAAGTGAGTCATTTGTAAAAGCTCTCATCACAAGAAAAAAAATGTAACTATGTGGGTGATGGATGTTGACTAGACTTATTGTGGTGGTCATTTCACAGAATATACAGAAAATAAATCATTAAGTACCTAAGGCTGATATAATGTTATATGTCAACGATATCTCAACTTTTTAAACTTTTTTTTTTAAAAGGAATTCCAGATGGCCAACTAGAGATGAGCCTCTGTACTCCCGCACATTCTGCTTGTTTGCTGGGCGCTCTCTCCCTCCCCACACCCCTCCTCCGCCCGACTAGCTAAGTACCCAGACCTATGCTGACGCAGGCAAGGGGCGCAAAACACTTCTGTTGAAATAAATAATTAGTGAATGTTCACGTTACCTAGCATACGTCTCTGCTAGCAGAGAGCGGACGCTGAATAAGTATTAGCCGAACGAATGCCTGCCGTGTTGGAGGAGAAATATCTCAACTCTCCGCGTGTCAAGGCAGCGGTGTTTAAGGGCCAGCCGTCTGCAGAGGGCAGTTTATCCATCTCTACAAATCAATGTATCGTATGCATGAAATGACAAATATACAGATTACAAATGCCACTGACATAAATGTATAATGTGCAATTTACAAGTAATAAGAAAATGTTCGATTCTCTACTGTGAATTCCATCTAGCCACTTGAACCTCAACATATGTTTTTGTGGATTTTTGCTAACTTTTGAATCCACAGCTGGTTGCAGACAATAAAACAAGGGTAGTTCCAACAGAAACGTGGGTGATAATTTTCATTTACGTTAATGAGTACCGTGAGAGTGAAGACATAGGAGGATCTGTTGCAATTTCACTTGTTTATCAACAACATGAACATCTTCTTTGATAAATCAGATAATAGTTTGTGAGTACTGGAAATAATATTTTCTCATCTTTCTGTGCTATTCACAGTCTAACAACTGTAGATACCATGGCACATTTTAAAGCTTGATCCACATTATTATTAATTTTTCTACATCACTTTTCAAAGCCTACACCAGGAGTTGGTATGCGATGGCTCGACACCTATTTGTGTAAATAAAGTTTTATTGGCACAGGACACGCCCATTCGGTTAGTGCTGTCTGTGGCTTCTTTCTCACTCTGACCACAGTGCTGGGTAGATGCAATAAAGGGCCTACAAGGCAGAAAAATGTACTACCTGATCCTTTACCAAAAAAAGGTGAGGTTTTTTGTTTTTTGGTTTTTTTTTTTTTTTTTTGAGCCTTGGTCTAAACCTTTTGGCATCTCTGGGCCACACTTTAAACACATTGCAACAAATAATCACCAACAAAATCTCATGTTTTAAGTAAATTTACGATTTTGTGTTGGTCCTCATTCACAGCCATCCTGAGCCACATGTGGCCCATGGGCCACAGGTTGGACACCCCTGATAGACAATCAGAAACACAATAAACTGAGCCCCCTTTGGAGCATGTGCCAATTTCCGTGGGGTAAACACCTCCATCGTGGACCATTTTAAGCTGCCAGGGTAGCAGCAATGACACAAAGTTGAAAAGATATGCATTAAATAGTCATCATCATATACCGTTTCCGCCAAACAGATACAATAACAAAATTAGCAAAAATTCATGAAAGTAAGATAAAGTTAAAAGCATGCATAACAAAGAATTCAGTTGCATTAGCACATTCTCAATGTTTTGTGACCACCAGCTCCACGTGGTTTCAAACGCTGTCACCGCCCCCAAAGGAAACCCAGTACCCCTTAATGAATTGTCCCCCACTGCCCTCCCCAGCCCCTGGCAGCCACCGTCCACTTTCTGTCCCCGTGGATTTGACTCCTCTCGGGACCTCCTAGGGGAATCACGCAATTGTCCTTTTGTGACTGTCTTGTTTCACTGAGCATGTCACCCAGGTTCATCCATGTTGTGGCAGGGGTCAGAATTTCTTTCCTTTTTAAAGGCTGAGTAGCATTCCATCGTCTGGGCGGGCCACATCTTGTTCATCTGTTGATGGACGCGTGGATTCTTTCCACCTTTTGATTACTGGGAATCATGCTCCTGTGAACATGAGCGTTAGTATCTGTCTGAGTCCTTGCTTTCAGTTCTCTTGAGTCTGTACTGAGAAGTGAAATTGCTGGATCATGTGGTAGTTCTGTTTAATTTTTTGAGAAACTGCCATATCATCCTTGTTTTTTTTAACTTTTTATTTTGAAATAACTTTAAGCTCATATAAAAGTTGTAAAAAATAAATAGTACAGAGTGCCCTGAGCAGTGTGGCTCAGTTGGTTGAGCATCGTTCTGCAAAGGGAAAGGTTACTGGTTCAGTTCCAGGTCAGGAAACAAGCCTGGACTATGGGCTCCTCCCAGGTTGGGGTGCATATGAGAGGCAACTGATAGATGTTTCTCTCTTTCTCTTTCTCCCTCCCTACTCCTCTCTCTAAAAGTAAATAAAATCTTTTTTTAAATGTACAAAAAATGTAAAAAAAAAAGAAAAGAAAAAAGCATGTAATGCCTTGGGCGGGTGCCTCAGTTCATTGGAGCATCATCCCATATACCAAAAGGTTGGTGGGTTCGATTCCCAGTCAGGGCACATACCTAGGTTTCAGGCTCGATCCTTGATCAGGGCACACAAAGGAGGCAACGGAGCAATGTTTCTCTCTCACATCATGTATCTCTCTCTCTCTCCCCATTCCTCTCTCTAAAGTCAATAAACATATTGTCGGGTGAGATCATTTTTATAAAAAAAGAATGTCATGTAAGTGGAATCAAGTTACTATGTAACTTTTTGAGACTGTCCTCTTTCATGCAGCATGGTGCCTTTGAGCTTTACCCAAGCTGGTTCATGTATAGACAGTTTGTTCCTTTTTATTGAGTAGTATTCCATTGTATGAAACTAATGCTTCTCCTGAATTTATTAATTCACCCACTGAAGAAATTTGCGTTGTTTCCAGTTTGGGGCCTCTTACAAACAAAGCTTTATGAACATTCCTGTTCGGGTTTTTGTGTGAACCTGTGAGCTCATTTCTCTGGGGTAAACACCCAGGAGTAGGCGGCTGGGTCACATGGTAAGCGTGTGTTTCACTTTCTAAGAAATCGCCAAATCATTATTTGAAGGGGCTGTACCATTTTTGCCACCCCATCAACAACATAAGAGTCCCAGGTGCTCAGCATCCTTGCTAACACTTGATATTGTCCTTTTTTAATTTTATTTTAAAATTTGCATTTCCCATCCCTGGCCAGATAGCTCAGTTGGTTACAGCATCGTCCTGATATGCCAAAGTTGAGGTTTGATTTCCGATCAGGGCACACACAAGAAGCAATGAATGCATCAATAAGTGGAACAACAAATCGATGTTTCTCTGCCTGTCCCTCTCCCTCCCCTCCCTCCCTCCTTCCCTTTGTCTCTCTCCCTCCAAAAATCAATGAACAACAAAACCCGCATTACGCCAATGCTTCACAATGCTCAGCCATATTCAGTTTATACACATGGTGTCATACAGAGTCTTCCATCACTTTGTGTTCCTAAGACTTTTATATTGTTGTCCTTTGTGAGTCTTCTGCTGCTCAATATTTTTATCTTTTAAATTTCATTTATTTTATTTTTAATTGTTGCTCAAGTAGTTTTCTGTCTTTTTACTCCCATCCCAGCTCACTCCCCCAGTTCTCTCCACTTCCCTCCCATTTCCGCCCCCTCACTATTTCTTTATGAGACTACACTAAGATGTATTTTTCCATTTTTCCTTCGATGGGTATTTATGTAGTTCCCAGATTTGTGCCACCAAAAACGGTGTGTGTGTGTCCTGGTTATACAAGATTAAGAGTTTCCTAGGTTATATGCCTAAGAGAAGAATTCCTGGGTCTAGGGCATTCCAGATAGTGCTAAATTGTTCAATTGTTCCCCAAAGGGGTGGGGCCAGCCGTTCTTTCAGTTGATCCACCGCACAAGTGAGAGAGATAAAGGTCAAGGTGCAGGTGTAGACAGATAGCAGGTACACAGGTGACATTAATGCTAAATAGTGCTTAAACAAGATAAATGTCACCTTGGACTGAATCTATCAACAAAGCGATTAGAAATTTATCCCCTGGGAGTGGGAGGAGTGATTTAGGAGCCACCCAAGTCTCTGGGATCAAGGAACAGATGTATTAAGCGTGATGTGATTGGAAGCAATGATAAGTAGAGAGATATGTAACAGGGAGAAGTTATAGTGCTCACTAATAAAGATAGAGGAGGAGGTGGAGGGTGTGTATCTGTACTGCCACGTCAATAATAAAACCGCATGTTCCAGACTAAGTTCTGAGAATCAGGTAATGTAGCCGGAAATGCATCTTCCCAAGGGCAGGAACACCCATTTCATTTATTCAAGTAGCATCTTTGTATGGGGCTTCACCCCCAGGAAGCTGGACAGGGAGAGAAAGAGACAAAACCAACATCTTCATGCCCTCAAAACATTCCTAACTAGTAGGCAAGGCAAAATGGAAGAGCAGGGAGGTGAATCAAAACACAGCAAGAGCCACCAACCAAAAATAAGGAGGGTGCAGTGGGAATGCCAAGAAGTGAGGAAGTGGCAAGAAGTAGGAGAATCGTTAAGTAGGAATCAAGGAGAACTGAAAAATCTGATTATTAGAAAAGACCTGATCTCTTTAACCTCCTGAAGAAGCTTCTCTGGGAAGGGCAATCCCCAGTTATACACTCTGGAATATCACATAGCAAGGGATAAGAACAAATTACTGGTAGATGCAACCACTTGGATGAATCTCAAAAATACTGTGTGCATCAAAAAAGTTAAAAAAAAACAACCAAAAACAAACAAACCAAAACAACGGAGACATCAAAGAGTACTGGAACCTACAAATAGACTCTATGGGGACAGAAATCAGAATCTGCATGTCTCTAGGTAGTGATATTCTAGATTCTCCTGGTTCATAGGTGCCGATTGTTAGCAATCTTTCTAATTCCATGATAATCGGTTGTGGTGAAAATATTTATACCACAAAAATAGTGTAATGTTACAAATTACAGTTCTCTCTCTCCTCCCCCCCCCCAAAAGTCCACTGTTAAACATTTACCAGCACACCACAGCTAGGTGGGGCAAGGGGAATTACTGAATAGGGCACTGAAGAAACTCTGGGGTAGTTTAAATGTTCTCCCCATGTTTCCAAGCTCAAGAAATTGAACACTCAAGAATTGTGCATTTATTATATGTAGGCTATAGCCCAATAAAAAGATTGTATGTGCCCTGGCTTGGTGGCTCAGTTGATTACAGCATCATCCCATACACCTAAAGGTTGTGGGTTTGATTCTGGTCAGGGCTGGTGTTTCTCTCTCACATTGTTCTCTCTCTCTAAACATAACCTCAGGTGAGGATTTAAAAATAAATAAAATTTATATTATAAAAGTAAAAAAGACTATATGCATTTACAGCCTACAATGAAATAAGCTGGAGAGATCAATTTGTACAACAGAAGGAAAGTGGAAATTCCCAGAGCTGGGAAAGGTCATGGCATTATCTGAAGCCAGCTGAGCCTGCTCCCGAATTTTGGGTGCATGGAAACAGTGAGAGGCAAAACTAAAAAGGCTTGGATTATAGAAGCAAAGGGATAGGCATGTCTGGGAGCAGTTTTAATTAGGGAAGAGCTATGGTTACATCTTGGCATTTCTAGAGCATTATCACATTTTGCAACTAAGTGTATGTATATTGTATATCTGTTTTTTAAACATTGTATCTCTGGTGCCCAGCACAGTGTCTAGCACATAAAGGACACTGCAAATTAACTGTTAAAAGAATAACTGAGAGGCAGCTGGACAGGGGGTGAGCAGGGCTGAGCCAGGGAGACCAGGGGACCTGGGCTGGACCCTGGAAGAGAGTGTTGACTGAGTTTTCCTTTTGTTTCTCCCACGTGGTTCCCAAAGATACAACCCACCATAAAATGTACACTGATGCCAGAGACGTGACAAAAAGAAAAGTCATGTGGTCAATTTTACATAAAGTCAACTTTTTTTCCCATTTAAATGACTGTCCTTTATTCTGTGCCATGAACTTCATTCTTTTTTAAAAAGTAGTGTTAAAATAACCTTTCTCATGCAATGGTGCAGCCACTGTGGGAAACAGTATAGTGGCTCCTTTAAAAATTAAATATAGAATTACCATATGATCTAGCAATTCCATTTCTAGAGAGATACCCAAATGAATTGAAAGCAGGGATTTGAACAGATATTTGTACACTCATGTTCGTAGCATTATTCACAATAGCCAAAAGGTGGGAAAAGTCAAAGGTCTACCAAAGAATGAATAAATCAACAGAATGGGGTCCATCCATACAATGGAGTACTATTCAGTCTTAAAAAGAAAGGAAACTCTGACACCTGCTACAACCCCATGGATGAACCTTGAGGACGTTATGCTGAGTGAAATAAACCAGTCACGACAGGACAGATAGTGGGTAATCCCAGTTTTATGAGGCCCCTAGAAGAGTTAGATTTATAGAGACAGAAAGATGGTGAGTGCCAGGGGCTGGGGGCAGTGTGTTTAACGGGGGCAGAGTTGCAGTTTGGGAAGATGGAAAAGTTCTGGAAGTTGATGATAGCGATGTTTGCACAACAATGTGAATGCGCCTAATGCCACTGAACTGTACGTTTAAAAATGATTTAAAATGGCCCTGGCTGGTGTAGCTAGGTGGACTGAGCACAGGCTGCAAACCAAAGGATCTCCAGCCCAATTCCCAGTCAGAGCATATGCCTGGGTTGCAGGCCAGGTCCTCAGTAACCAGCGTGCAAGAGGCAATCACACATTGAGATTTCTCTCCCTCTTTCTCCTTCTCTTCCCCTCTCTCTAAACATGAATACATAAATTTTTTAAAAATGATTAAAAATGGCCCTGGCTGGTGTAGCTCAGTAGATTGAGCGCCAGCCTGCGAACCAGACAATCAGGGCTCCATTCCCAGTCAGGACACCTGCTGGGGTTGCATGCCGGTTCCCTGCAGGCCAGTTCCCAGCAGGGGACGCACGAAAGGCAACCATACATTGATGTTTCTCTCCCTCTCTCCTTCCCTTCCCCTCTAAAGATAAATAAATAAATAAATAAATAAGTAAATAAATAAATAAATATATTTTTTTTAAAAGTGGTATACTACCATTGTACTTAAAAAAAAGATTTAAAATGGTTAATTTTATGTTACGTATTTTACCACAATAAAAAAGTTTTTAAAACACCTGCCACAAATGAATGGGATTAATTACAATTTGGTGGGCGTTGTGTGTATGTGCCCATAATTGGCCCCAGTTGACTCCTGGTTTCCCACAACTTGTGGAGATTTTCGTGGCTCCTGTAGTCCTGACCCGGCACCCACAAGGACGTGAAGGTCCAACCTCTTCCCCACTCACCTGCTTGAGCTCTTCACCCCCCACACCGCTGCCTTTTCACCTTGCCTTCACCTGCCGCCCCCCGCCCCGCCCAGCCCAGCACCCCAGGCGCACGCGCACAGGGCCGTGGGAGGCTAGCGAGCGCGCAGGCTCCTAGCACAGCTCCCGTCGGTTTCCTCCTCCTTTCCGTGCGGGGGAGGCGGCCTTGCGCTTGGACTGCAGACTCCTGGCGAAGGACGGGGCGGGCCCAGCAGGGCTTAAAGCCTCGGGTATCGGGTATCGCGAGAGGACCGTCGCGATCTCGTCGCTCCCCTTCGCCCAGGCCCGCCTCCCGTGCTCCGCTGCAGCGTCAGCTTCGGTAGGGCCTCGGCACCGGCTGCGGCTTGTTGGCCTCAGCCCCAGCGCCCCTTGGTGCTTGTCGGCCCTCGTCAGCAACGCCGTCGGCCCTCGCTGCCTCGGTGCCGGCCTAGGCCGCGGCCTCGGCTCGGGTATCCCGTTGGCGCCGCCCGCTCCCGGCCCGCCCCCTATGGGCCCGGGCTAGAGGCACCGCTGCGGCCGGCTCGCGGAGCCCCGATGCTGGCCCGGAGGAAGCCGGTGCTGCCGGCGCTCACCATCAACCCCGCCATCGCCGAGGGCCCGTCCCCCACCAGCGAGGGCGCCTCCGAGTGAGTGAGCCAGGGAGGGGTGAGGACGGGTGGGGGGGCGGACCCCCTTTGGTGGTGAGGTGGGCTAGAGAGGGTCTGTGAGAGGAGGGAATGGGGTGGGAGGGGTGGAGTCCTTGAGTGATGAAGTGGGTGGGGAGGGAGTCCTGGTAGTGAGGTCGGAGTGAGGGGAGGTTCCTGTGGGGAAAAGAGGGGGTGAAGGGCCCTAAATAGTGGAAGTTTGGTTAGGGGGTCCCTGCGTAGTGGATGGGGGTGAAATGAGGTCCCTGCAGAAAAAAAGATGGGGTGTGGGGCCTCTGAGCAGTGAGAATGTAGTTGGGTGTCCCCGAGTAGTGAATTCAGGGTAGTGGTTGGGAGGAGGGCTCCTGGGGAGAGAGGGTGGGTCCAGCGGTCCCTAGTAGTGAAATCAAAGGTCTGGAGTCCTTGAACAGTGAGGTGGAGGGAGGGGGGTCCTTGCATTGTCAGGACAGGGCGAATGAGGTCCCTGGAGGTGAGGAAGTCCATACAAGATGAAGGGAAAGGTTGGCCTGAGAGACGAGGATGTGGGAGGGGTCCCTGAGGAGTGGGGAGGGGGAGGGCGGAGAAGCTCTGAAGGAATTTGGGGGGAAGGAAGCCTGAAAAGATCCTGCTAGTTGGGGGCAGGGGAGAAGCCCCTGAAGCTGGGGAGAGTGGTGAGGAGACCCAGAGGCCTAGGGAAGCAGGGAGTGAAGAGAATTTGGGGGGATATGGATGTAGGGGAAATAGGAGACACAGAGGAAAGAAGTGGGAGGCCTGCTGGGACCCCAGACAGCAGATAAGCAGAGATTCTGGATTCAGCAAAGTTTCCAGGGGCTGGAGAAGTGCAAGAGATTTGAGGCTCTGAGGCAATTAAGGGAGACAGGAGGATCTGTGGGGAAGGGGATGGAGAAGGGAGCATCTCAGGGTGGTGAGGTTACACGACAGCAGAACCTTACTGTGTCAGGGAAAGCGAGGTCATGCTAGGGTGACTGCTTGGCCCCAGAAATCCCTGGAGCCTCCCTTTTCCTGTTCTGCCTGGTGGAGCAGGTCAGGACAGTCCCAAAGACCCCTGGCTGGGGTCTCTTTGCTGTATTTGTAGTGTGACTACCATGAGAACTGGTTGTGATGGGCAAATGGTAAGTGTCTGGTGCCTCTCCTGGGGCTTGACCTTCTGCAGCCTGGGCGAGGGTTAGGAGGTGAGCCTTGATGTGCGAATTGATGTCTTTCTGTGTCTCCAAGCACATAATTCAATGTGGGGACATGTTCCTAATATTCAAAAGTCTACTCTTCTTCTTACAAGGTAGCTCTTTCTTCATATTCTCTTCTATCTGGCGTCTGATTTCCATCCCTTTAAGAATTTCCCTAGTGGAGGAAGCCAGCCATTGGGACTCCAGGGTTTTTTATAACCACAGTTGACTTGCCATTACATTTAAAATGGATTAATCAGCTGACTCCAGAATGCATTGTGGATGTCATAGGGCAGTGCTGGAGACCTTCCAGAGTCTGGCCTCAAAAGTTGTCTCTCAACCCTCCAGTGAAGAGAGCTGTGTCGCATCCATTCATTCTTCACCTTCCCACTTCCATCCATCAGTATCCTTTTTCATCGAGGTCTCAGTTCAGCAGGCATTCAGGGAACATCTACTAGGCCCTCATCCTTGGCTCAGGGGGACTCTGTGAGGAGCAGAGGCTATGAGCACATGCTGTGCAATCAGGGAGGATACAGGTTTGATTCCAGACACTGCCACTTCCTTGCACTGTGACCCTCAGGCTAGTTATTTAACCTCTCTGGGCCTATTCCCATATATGTGGGCTGGGTCTTCAAGAGATCCACCTCCCAGGAGAATCCTGAGAATTAAACAAGATGGTGTGATGGTATTCACAAAGCTCTGGTACTTGCTTAGGAAATGACACCCACCCACTGCCTCTCAGCCCCCTCTTTGCAGTAGCAGCACAGGTGACATCGCCCAGTGGCAGGTCATCTCGTTCCTGGCCTGTGTGCCCCTTTGCTTGAACCTCTTTAAATTGTAGGCAAGTTACAGTCACTTTAGGATTGGAAAGTTCCTGAGAGAACATCCAGGCTCCCGCTTCAGTCCCTTGCTCAGGTTCCCTGTATGAGATCTTCCCTGGGTGGGCAGTCAGCCTTAGCTTAAACACCCTCAGGAATTGGTGGCTGAGGACTGTCTGAGGTGGCCCATTCTCCTGTAGAGACTTTTCTCAGAGCTGCACTCACTCTCTGGCACGGTAGCCACTTGAAATGTGGCTTGTCCAAATTCAGGGCAGCTGTAAGTATAACATGCATCCTGGATTTCAGAGACTTAATATGAAAAAAATAAAGTAAATATTTGTCATTTGTTTATATTTATTGCATATGGAAAATTATTATATTTTTGATGGGTTAAATCAAATGTATTAAAATAATTTCACTTGATATATTTTTTTAATGTGGCTGTGAATTTTAAATTGCACATTGTTGTCCTAGCTTTTGGACAACACTGGGTTAGTTCTTGTGTTCATTGAGCAAAAGTCTACCTGCTTGTTGCAGGGAACTGCGTTTTACTCCAGGATTTGTCTCAAACTCAAGGCACTAGTGAAAATAGCTGATTGTTGAAATTTCCTTTCAAAGTTCCTTGAATCACTCGGTAAAGTGCAGTGTACATGTGGGTTTTTAAATAACCAGGCCCAGGAATGCGTGTGCATGTGAATGCCTAATGCGTAGTATAGTGCTCAGGGTATAATACAAGTGTGCTGGTTGAGTGGAATGCTCTGGAATTGTCTACACTGTTTAAATCAGGCCTCTCTTCTCCTCCTCCAGAGTCCATGTGTAATTCATGTAAATTACAACTTCTTCTATCTTCTGCCCATTGGTTCTTGCTCTTTGCTCTGAGACCACTGAAAATGAGGTTGCTCTTCCTGATGAGGGGTAAAGGGGGGGAAATTGGGACAGCTGTAATAGCTTAGACAATAAAATATAATTTTAAAAATGAGTTTGCCCTTTTAGCCTCATGAAGACAGGTATCCTGGTCTGGGCCTTCACTCACCTGATGCCCATTCATTTTTCCCCAGTTCCATGTCTCCTTCCAATGTGGTCAGGAAGGAGGGCTCCTCAGTCTGATACCAAGGCCATTGAACCAGAGCTGGTCCTCCAGGATCTGAGATCTCCTAACCTTTGTGAGCAGGGAAAGAGATGGTATCCTCAGTTCTCGGGGAGTCAGCCTTCTCCTCTGGGTAGCTGTGTGTTTGCAGGTGGTCTGTCTTTTCTGCTAGATCATTAACCCCTTAAGCCCGAGAAGAAGTCTGATTCATCTCTGCATCCTCCTGGCTGCAAACCCAGGGCTTGGCACTCAACAACCACATGGTAGTCTTAGCTCAGGTTGAGTCATTTTGGCAACTCAGACACTCTTCACTAACCCTTGTCCTTGGGGTCTCTGCAGAGCAAACTTGGTGGACCTCCAGAAGAAGCTAGAGGAGCTAGAGCTTGACGAGCAGCAGAAGAAGCGGCTAGAAGCCTTCCTCACCCAGAAGGCCAAGGTTGGGGAGCTCAAGGATGATGACTTCGAAAGGATCTCAGAGCTGGGAGCCGGGAATGGTGGGGTTGTCACCAAGGTCCAGCACAGACCTTCAGGACTCATCATGGCAAGAAAGGTGAGAGGTGGCCAGTAGCAAGGCAGGCATTCTGTCCCTGTGCTCTGTGGGTGGCATCTGGCGGGGGCAGGTCCCCCTAGAAATAGAGCAGTTTGAAAGGTGCCAGCCTCTGCCTTCTCACTGGCTCCTGGGCTCAGAAGCCCTCCCATCAGTGGTGGGTTCTCGTTCCCGAAAATGAGCTCGGCTTCTAGTTAGAATGTGGCAATGCTGGCTTGCCTCAAGCAGCTCTTCCCTTCTGTCACTGACTTCTGCCTTTGGGGACGGCTTAAATTCAGATTCCCAGAAAGTGAGTGGAGTTTTCAGAAAGAAGGGGGGAGATTCAAGTCCACTTAGAGTTGGCATCACCCTGAATTCACAACCAGGAGAAAGGACTGCAGGCCTAGGACAGGGCCTTTGCTGTGATAGTCCCTGGGCAGTGGGGTAACTAAACCACCTGTATGAGTCAGAGTTCTGAAGATAAGCAGAACCACAAGGGTATGGAGGCGGTGTTGGGGGGAGCCACGTTAAGGGACCCGCTTGTTTGATCATGGCAAGTGTGAAATGTGCAGGGCAGGCCAGCAGGCTGGAGACCCAGGGAAGGGCTGGTGTTGCAGCTCAAGTCCAAAGGCCACCTGGAGGCAGAATGACCTCTGTCTTTCCTCTTCAGGCCTTCAACTGATTGGATGAGGCTGCCCACTTCTGGGAGGGTCACCTGCTTTTATTGGATTCTTAGGATTTCCCTGTTAAATTACATCTAAAAAATACCTTCACAGTGACATCTAGACTTGTGTTTGACCAGACAGCTGGATACTGGGGACACATTAAGTTAACCATCACCCAACTCTTTAGTACAAACCTTGGCTCTGAGAAGTCCTGAGCCTCCCTCGTCTGGGTGCCCAGTGCATCGTCCCACTAAACATGCGGGAATAACCCTGGGGAGATGTAGGGAGTGAGAAGAGGAGGGTGTGACCTTCTGGGGACACAGGCTCCTAAACACATAACTGAGGGAACTTCATGTTGATAAATTGTTTAGGTCATACAGTCATGTTCTTTCAGACTTAGAAAGCTGCCTCTTCCTGGAAGCCCACTGTCCTGTCATTTCCCAATTGTATTCTAGGAAACCTGACCACCCCAGGCCCAGTGGATCAGTATAGGTTCCACCTTTCCTGGGAATGATGTGCTTGGTTTCCATTGGGATTTAGCTCTGTAGCTATTTCTCCTGCCTCTAGAGCACTGCCCTCCCTCCTGAAACCTATTTCTGTCCCCTCAGTGCAGGCAGCCTTTTCAAAACCAGAGCAGCCCCAGAAGTCTCTGGTCTGCCATTGCCTGAAGCACCAGGAATAAAAGGCAGATGTGAGGTTCTGACTGTAATGGGGAGGAAGGACTTGAGAAGAGTACTGGTCAGAGTTTATATCAGGGACCTAGAGGCTCTCTTGGCCCAGCTGAGGTGTTTCAGGCATCCGATGTGCCTTGTACAAACGTGAGCCCAGGAGTCTGTCTACAGCTTTATGACAGCCTGCAAAGTAAGACTTAGGAGTTTAAAATGGGGACAGACGAGTTCTGCAGTTGAGGGAGCAGTGCTGTCCCAATGCCAGCTTCTGGTACGGCCTTTCAGTCAAGGAAGATGTCGCTGTTTGGGGGAGCTGGGTGAAGAGCACGTGAGACTCTATGGATTTTGCAGCTTTCCTGTGCTGCTTTAATTCTTTCAAAATAAACTTTCTTTAAGGGTCCAGAAAATGGGGGTCAGGACCTCAGGTTTTGTTCCATGTAGACCTTAACCTCCTCCCAGCACAGGGTCAGAGCAGTGTAGGCGGTTGCAGGCATTTGGCAAATACATTGAAGAAGAAGGCTATCTCGGTGATTGATGGTCCCAGGCTGTAATTCCCTGTGGCTCAGGAGCCCTGGACTGGTGTCTGGGGGTCAGAGGCTCCTTTTAATCCATCTGAAGTGCCAGTCCACTCAGGAGGCCTGTTGCCTTTGTTCACTTGAGGGCACATAACAAAATTGATGAGACAAAATGGTTTTTTAGAAACAGTGGCCTCAGTCTTTTCTCTGCTGCCCTGGTTGGAATTACGAATTTCCCAGGAAGACTGGGATGAATTCCACGAATTGTGAGTGTGTAGGATTATCAGATCTCCGAAGGTGGCCTGCCAGCAGGTGTGAAGGTGAAGGCTGGGTGGAGCTCCTGGACGCCCATACGACTCCTGCTCTGTGGGACTCCGGCTCTGTGGGCCAGCGTCCCTCCAGCCCTTGTGATTGTCAAAGGATCATCCTAACCAGTAGGGCGGGCTGGGGAAGCAGCAAGACCAGTTCGGTAAGGCCCTAAGAAAACCGGTCTATTTCTACAGTGAGGCTTGTTCATGAATGTTTTCTGTACTCAGCATGGCTCTCCTACTTGTATGTTCTTCTGAGGGCCTTAGGAACAAAACTTCTGCATGATGACTTGGGCGAGGGGAGATCTTCACAGAGTTTCACATGTTTGTTACACACGCATGGCTCCCTTGACCACCCTGCCCTCTACTTAGAGCAGAGGAATGTGCGCTTACTTCTATCACGAAGGTCATGTGACCCGCCCAAGGCCACATAACAATACTAGCTACCATCTTTCGGTGATTGCCCGGTGTCAAAGCCAGCTCTAGAACCTTGACACGTGTTCTCATGTAAATGGGGCAACCAGATAAGTGGAGCAACTGCTTCATTTTACAGGTGAGAAAACTGAGGTTGGGTTGGGTCTTATCTGAATCGGATTTGAACCTTTGTGGTTGACCCTAACCCTGTGGAAGCTGTCAGGGCTTTGCCTCCAGAATCACTGTCTCTCTTGGCCTAGTTTGCCCCCACCCCCACCCCTGTTCCTAGCTCAGATCCCCTATCCTGCTGTAGAAACTGCCTTAAACTCCTAGACAGGCTTGGTGTTTGAACTCCCAACACCACTCCGATTTAACCAGCAGCTGGGGCTTGCTTAGCCCTGGAAATGGTGCAGTGAAGGAGCATAGGCTCAGGCCCAGTCCTGACCTGACCACCCACCAGCTGTGTGTCCCCAGGATCAAAATTCAATGTCTCAGAACCTGAACTTGCTAATCAGTGCAGGGAGAGCAGTTACCACTCCCCCCTCCCCCGACAAGGGTTATCATCAGGGCAGATTGTGACACACATGCTCAGAAACATGCCCCTGTCTTCCCATTCCTGCTCTTTGCACACTCCCAGGGGTGGCTCCTGTTCGATCCAGAAGCTTTGCTTTACAAGCCCCACATGCGGTGGACCCATTGAAATAGATCACATAGCAGCAGCCCTCACGTTCCCTCTCTACCACATCTTTCCCAAAAGCCTCTCACTTCTTGGGGCCTTATTTCACATTCACCCAACTCCAGGCTTCCAGGACCTCTGGGATCCTGTCTAGTTCTGCCCAGTTTCGTCCACCCCTTCCTCTTCTCTAAAAGCCTGGTGGATTCTTGCTCCCCTGCTACTGATTTATCTCTGGCTCCTTTCAAGTTCTTGATCAAGAACAGCTACTGAGCCCCTGAAATGCAGTTTTGTTTGGATCAGGGCATGCTATATGTGTGCCAGAGAAACAACAACTCATTAATATTTTTATGTTGATTACATGTCATTATTTCTTTGATGTGTTGCATTGAGTTAAAAGACATGAAAACTTCATTTCACCTGCCTTTTTTTACTTTATTGATATGGCAACTAAAGGATTTTTAAATTACACGTGTGGCTCATGGTGTACTTCTGTTGGACAGCACAGATATCCATCACCCTGCATTGCCCATCCATCAGCCTCCCACCTTCCACACAAATGTCAGAGCTTCATTTTCAGATCCAGCATCTCATCTTTTCAAAGCATGCGTGCATACGCATGTTGGGCATCTGGCACGTGCAGTCCCACTGGAGGAGAGAGCGTGCTGGACTTCTGGTGTGATTACCGCCCTGGGGGTGGCTGTGGGGGGTGTGCAGTGTCCCAGGGAGCACAGCCAGGGCTGGGCTCTGTGGGCTAGGGTTGGGTAGAGAAGCAAATGCCTGACAGGCCCTGAGGGCTGGAGGGCCCCAGTCAAGGAGGCACTGCCTGGGCATGGCCGGGCCACCAGGCACCCTGCTTCTAGGACCTGCTACAGTTCTCAAGGTTGCAAGGGTCATTGGCATGGGTCTATGAGCAGGTGGAGCTCCCCACATATACCCTGTGCTGCCCCCGTCCCCAAACTCGGTACACACCCCATTGTGCTCTCAAACAGCCAACTCTTTGTTCCTCTTTCTGGAGCACTGGCCCCTGTGTCACCTGAGTCTTGTATCACCTCTCCATGATTTCTCCATTGGGGCATCTCTGCCATAACTGGGCTTGTGTCACCTGCCTTTCTTACCTCTTGCTGGCATGTCTTTGAACAGGGTCATCTCTGCCATCTTTCTCCTCATCACTGACCCTTGTAACCAACTCTGTGTAAATGTCTGTTGAGTTGATAGCAGTTATTTCCATATGCCTGTGATGGGCTCTGCCTCTCTGACAAAAGGGTATAAATCACCCCTTTTTCTCATCACAGTGGCCGATACATCAAGGACTCTAAGTAGCCAGGACCTAGACCCACAGCCTTCACTCTGTTTTGCTGGGCAGTGGATCTTGGCTTGCTTAGGGTTTGTAGTTAAGTGCTGCTCTTAGCATTTTGTCCGCTGCCTTTTCTGACTGTCTCCAGGTGGTCCTTTGATTTCTCGCCTTTTGAGATGTAATGAATTTGGTGACAGTCCTGGCTGTGGGCTTGAACTCAGGTGGAAGGGCAGCTAGGATCCTCTGGAGGTAACCAGAGGCTTTCTGCCTTTGTCTCTAGCCTGGAGGTGGGAAGGGCTCCAGAGAAACCCACCCTTGAATGCCGGGCTGAGCAGAGGTGAAGTAGTCCCTTGCCATTCCATTCCCTGGGCTTGGTTCTGGGAAAGGCTAGCCCTTCAAAAGATTTGGTGGGAAGAAAACTCCTCTGAACAGAGCTTCCCCTGTAACTAGTTGAAAAATGTTTGCTCTGTTGATGGTTTATTTGTTTGTTTTTAACAGCTTTATTGAGATATAATTCACTTACTAGAACATTTACCCTTTTAGAGTATATAATTCAGTGTTTTTAGTATATTCACAGCATTGCATGTCCATTGCCAGGACCAATTTTAGAACATTTCCATCACTTCTGGTGGAAGCCCCACCAGAAGCCCCAAAGAAGCCCCAGCCCCTAGCAACCGTAAATCTACTTCCTGTCCCTGGATCTGCCTGTTCTGGGCAATCCACATAAGCGGAGTCGCATGCTCTGTGGTCTTCTGTGTCTGGCTTCTCTCACTGAGCGTGTTTTCAAGGTCCGTCCACCTTGTGGCGAGTGTCAGTGCTCCTCCTTTTCATGGTTGAGTAATGTTCCAGTGTGTAGGTGGACCACATTTCGTTTCTATATTCACCGGTTGGTGGACACTTGTATTGCTTCCATATATTAGCAGTTGTGAATCACACTGCTGTGAACACAAGTACAAGTGTGTGCATGGATGTGTGCTTTCAGTTCTTCTAGGTAGATACCTATAAGTGCATTGCTGATTGATCTTTAATGCGGTTATGAGCACCTCAAGGGCAGAGAGCCGAAGTGCCCCCTCTCCCTCCCTAGTGCCCCTCAGCATCCTGCTCCTGAACCTGCTCCCCATTTCCTTGCAGCTGATTCATCTGGAGATCAAGCCAGCCATCCGGAACCAGATCATCCGTGAGCTGCAGGTGCTGCATGAGTGTAACTCCCCATACATCGTGGGCTTCTATGGTTCTTTCTACAGCGACGGGGAGATTAGCATCTGCATGGAGCACATGGTGAGTGCAGTGGGGCACCCTGCACGCAGGGCCTAGCCGCTGTCCCCAGAGCCACCTGGGCTTACAGTCAGGGAGGCGTGACAGGATAAACGGTTCACGTAGAATGGGAAGGCAGCCTATGAAAGGAGGTCCCTTGCCTGTGTTCCTCAGGGTCCTGTCCTCAGAGATCATAGTGCCCCTCTTTTCAGGGCAGTCCTCCTGGAGCTAGTCAGTGGCATGTTAAATATATGTATAGAGTCCTTTGTTTTTACACACCAGACGCCCTCCTCCTAGCTTTCCTCCTTCACTGACTACAAGGTGCAAATCCTTTCCTGTCGGCATACAGAGAGCCATCTGGCTCTTTTTCACCACTGTTTAGTGTTCTGGCACCCACATATACCTGTAAGGGAATTTTTTTTTTTTAGATTTTATTTATTTATCTTTAGAGGGGAAGGGAAGGAGAGAGGAAGAGAAACATCAATGTACAGTTGCCTCTCATGCGTCCCCTGCTGGGAACTGGCCTGCAGGGAACCCGCCTGCAACCCCGGTATGTGCCCTGACTGGGAATCGAACCAGGATTGTCTGGTTCACAGACCCGAGCTCAATCCGCTGAGCTATACCAGCCAGGGCTTGGGAATTTATTAAATTAAGCTCTTTTATTTGTGGACACTGGAGTCCCTGCTCCATTTGGAATGATGATGCCTCAAATGTTCTTGCACAGAAGCAAACATCCCTGAAGGATAAAGTGGTACCAGTGGAACTATAGGGCCCAAGGATGCATGCAATTGAAATTTTGATCAATATCTCCAAAATGCCTTCTGAAGAGAGTATGTGTACAGCAGTTTGGGGGTTAGGGGTATCGTTTTGTGTTTAGAGAAGGAGGAAAAAGACAGACAGACAGACACGGATTTGTCGTTCCACTTATTTGTGCATTCCTTGGTCGCTTCTTGTATGTGTCCTGCCTGGCCATCAAACCCGTGACTGTGGTCTATCAGGACAATACTCGAGCCAACTGAGATACCCAGCCAGGACCAAGGCTGTTTTAAAGATAAAGCCTGGGTTTGCACCTAGCTCAGATCTGTGGAATTAGAAGCTCTGGGGTGCAGTGTAGGCACCCATCTTTTTTTCAAACCACCAGAGTGAAGTCAGCTGCACCCCCTGGTTAAGAAACTTTGGTCTTGAAGCTCAAAAATGGGTGGGATTGGGTGTAACAAAAGCAGAAGTGGTCAGGGCTGAAGGCCTCGAGGGGAAATGCCTCCAACCCTCTGCAGAGCCCAGTTGATCGGCTACCAGACTGCCTGCTCCCTTGCTGGATGACGGGCTCCAGCCTGGCAGAGCCCTTGCAAAACCAGGATGCAGCATGGCTTTAGGGACCACAGCTTCAGTGACAGCTTCGGTTATGTCTTGCAAATGTGCTACCCGTGACAGTTTTGTAATGAAGACAGGAAACAAATTTGAGCAAGTACCTGCACGAATGCATTGTGAGCAGACTTCATGGAGTAACGGCTGACAGCTGGGAGGGAGTGCCCGCCGGAAGGCACTCCCCGTCCTGCTTTACCCCTACCCAGTGTCAAGATCCCCACCAGGCCTGCAGGAGCCCATTCCTCACCTGGGAGATCCCTCTCCTGTCTGCCTGTCTACAGGGCAAAGTCACTGTGTAGACAAGAATCAAGTAGGGAGAGGACGGAAGTCACTCTGTGGTCTGAGGGGAGCCTCTATACTGTAACTCCTCCTCCTTCCTCCCCTCCCTGCTCTCCCTTCTCCCCCTCCTTCTCTTCTCTCCTCCCTCCTTTTTCCCTCCTCTCCTCTCTCCATTTTCCCTCCTCTCCTGTGCTCCTGGCCACCCCTACCTAGCCTCCCCGAACATCGTGAGAATCTGAGCCCTGGCTGGTGTGGTTCAGTGGACCGAGCAACAGCCTGTGAACTGAAAGGTCGCTGGTTCAATTCTCAGTCTGGGCACATGCCTGGGTTGCAGGCCAGGTCTCTGGTTGGGGGCCCTGTGAGAGGCAACCTATATCTCTCACACACTGATGTTCTCTCTCTTTCTCCCTTCCCCTCTCCCTCAAAGTAAACAAATAAAGTCCTTTAAAAAGAGAGAAAGAATTTAAAGTCACCTTTTTCCTGCATGAAAGGGGGAGTGGCACAGTCTGGCACCCCTCTGCGCCCGCTTCTGTTCTTGGTGAACGTAAAATGTCAGTTTCCAGTACGTGATGTCTGCACCCCAGCAGCATGCTGTATGAGCCACCAGGAGGCGGAGGACGAGTACTAGCCATGTTTATTGTGCTCATCCTTTAAAAGTTCCTAGTTGGATTTTTTTGGTCACTTTTATACCAAGCATACCAGGACAGAGCAACTATGTAATGCCTCAGTGAAAAGACAAGCTAAGTCGAGGCCTGTGCTCTCCCCTGATTGGAGTTATGTACCACAAAACTCGGAGGCCACTGAGTTTCAGGGATGAGATGAGCTTAAAGAGGGGGGCTTGGTGAGGAAGGCAGGAAGAGAGCAGATGGCACCGGATCAACAAAGGGCCTTTGCTGTCAGTTCTCCTTAGTATTTCCACATCCAATAAACCCCTGCAGAATTGATAGGCGTGTGCGTGGGCTTTCCCTCTTGGTGGGACATTTCTTCTTTGTGTGTTCCTGTCCACATTGTGGGGCACTCCGCATGGCGGTGGAGACAGCGCCCTGGGGTCAGGCCTGGGCCCCACTGCCCACCTCTCAGCACGTGGCTCTGGATGGGATTCTCACCCCTTCTTGTCCATCAAGCGAAAGGTGGAGGTAGTGCCTTCCCCTGGTCCTGGTCACACTGGATGTTGAATAAATACCACCATTGTGACTGGGGTCATTTTTCCATATTTCTCTGTCACTTTCATTTCTCTCTTTTCACCATGGCGACATCCCACCTGATCAGTATCCTACATTGTGGAACCATTCCCGGGTGGAGGGCAAGGCTTCATGTCTGCACAGGGCCATGTGGGAGTTGGCTCTTATTTATCCTTGGGAAGGTTCCAGCGGCAGCTTTTGAGAAAAGATCCCTCATTGATAATAAAGCCCAGATTCAGCAGAGAACATTTTGCCTCATCTAGCCAGAGTGTGTTGGCCTTTGGGGCTGGGGGACAGCAGGGCTGGCAGTTTCCGGGTGGCCTGAGACTTATGGGGGAAGCTCAGGCATGTACCCAGGGGGCATCAGGTATCCCAGGGCAGAGTAGCTGGGGAGCTCCTTACTGAAGCTGCTTACCACTAAGGGGCTCTAGTCAAACCCACTGAAGAATGTGCCCCCTCTTCCTGTAATAATGAAAAATCAAACCCATCGTTAGTAGGGGACGGAAGGAATGCCACTGGGCCACTCTGCAGTAGAAACAAAGTCAGCCCGTGTGAACCAAATTAGAAAATCTCCAATGGGAGAAAGATGCATGATATGAACCCACTTATGTATATATTTAAAACTCTCTTTCTCTGTGCATATGGATGTGTATGCAAATGTGCAGAAGGATCGGGAACACTGTAAGTCACACTTTGGGGGAGGCAAGTGGAATCACTGGGGGATCAGAGTATCACTTAGTTACACTTAAATTTTTATTAAAATGCACATTCATGTACCACCTGCTTGATAAAAGTAAGATTTTAAGAACGTTTAAAACACATGCACACAAAATGAAACTGTCTGGTCACGCATAAAGATAGATTTGGGGTCAGAAAGACCTAGTTGTGACATCTCCTGCACCACATCCTGTGCATGTGACTTGAGTGAATGAGTTACCTTCTTCGCTGCAGACCGGGGGGCCTGGGGACATTGTCACAACTAGGGAGATGTTGGTGGAGGTCAGGGATGCTGCTCGACGCCCCACAGGATCCGGGACAACCCTACAGATAATGGCCCGGCCCCAGGGTTCCCAGTGCCATGGGGGACACCCTGTAGAGTGAGCAGTACTGTCCTTCACGGAGATGCTTTGCGTTAACTCCTGAGACCCCGGCCTGGTGCCTGGCCCACCATAGTCTCCCTGGCGATGTGTGAGCATCACACACCTCTATGAAAATTCAGAATGAAACGATCTGTGTTAAGGAACAGGGATTACAGTTAAAAAAATTTTTTTTAATTCTTTTAAGGTTGATTGATAAAACAAGAAATGAGAAGAATAGAAGGAATTTCCATCTCGCCCTGCAGGTAGAGCGGAGCGGGCCGGGCACCCTGGTCAGAGGAGGCTCACCTTCCTGGGTCCCTCCTCGACCACACCCACCCTCTACAAGTTTGGGTCCCTTGCTTGTTGACAGAGTCACACACATTCTTAAAGCTTCAAAGTGCATTGGGTTGTCTGGATCTCTCCACCGCGAGCACAGCTAGAGTGCCAGAGAGGGTAGACCGGGGCATCTCAGAGGCTTCTCCCCGCCCCAAGGGAAACAGGAGGTGTCCCAAAGAAGTGGCACCTGTGGGGCTCCTAGAGCAACGCAGTGGGGGGACGCAGGTTCTGGGGCCACCTGTCTGCCAGTTCAAATGATGGCCTTGCCTAACCCCTGAGCCTAGGCTCCACTTTCCTCTCTGGAGTGCAGAGGAGAACAAGGCAGGCTCTGGCCCCAGGTTGGAATTTGGCCATGTCCACCTGAAGTCCTAGGGGCCCTGGCAGGCATATCCTCAGAGCCCCGCCTCTGAGGAGGCATCCAGCCAGCACCAGCAACACCCTGAGTTTTGGTCTCCAGATTTGTTGCCAGGCAGCCTTGCACAAGACTGTTATTTCTGTTATTTCCTCATTGTCAGGTGGATTAGGGGCTACGCCCAGGGTGAGGTGGGGAGGAGCAACTGGGGTGACCTGTGTCAGGTTTTTTACAGGTTAATCCCCTGTGTGATGGTGGCAAGCACAGGACAAGACCTAAAGAAAGGGGCAGAGCTATCATCCCCAGGTGTCCTCTGTGCCGCTGGGACAGCAGGTCCCTTCCTAACTAGGCGGGGGTGGGGGGTGGTAGGGGAAAGGCCAGTCTGCTTGGCTGCCTTTCTCTTATGGTGGGCGCTTGGGGGCATCACCTTTGCTCTCAGTCCCTGTCCCACTTGGGGCCGTGACAAGAACCCAGGCCCAGAAGTGGATAGGTCTATCTCATACGCCCTTGAGGTGGTTTCATTTGCAAGCCTGGTGGCTGGGCCTGCTGCTGTAGTGGCAACCTCAGGATAGCTGAGTCACGAGGAGCATGCAGGTACTCTTTCCTCTTCTGCACTAGATGTGCTGTCCTAAGGCCAAGGGTTGCCTTTAGCTGTGGTCTGGCCCCTGTTTCCTGTGGAGAAAGTCAGGCATCAGCTCTCCGGGAACCAAGAAAATGCTGCATCTTTATACCTGTCACCTGAGCATTCCTCTGGGATTCATCTCTGCAGCGGCCCCACCCGGCCGCCTGCTCAAAGCACTTGCTTTCTCTCCCCTGTGCTGCCCCCAGGATGGTGGCTCTCTGGACCAGGTATTGAAAGAAGCCAAGAGAATTCCAGAAGAGATCCTGGGGAAGGTCAGCATTGCGGTGAGTGTGCAGGCGCCACTCCCCTAGCCAGCGTGGCACTGGGAGCGGGCATGTGCTCCTAACCCCGTGCTGGGTTGCTTTATTCTTGTTCCTGCCCTCTCCACAAGGCCGGTGGTGTGTGTCACCTCACCTCCTGCAAAGAGGAAGAGTGCTGACGCCAGTCTCCACCAGCTGTGGTACTAAACAGGGGCATCCATTTGCCCATAAAATAGGAGCAATGCTTTCCTGCCCCATACAGGTGCCAGGACCCAGGTGGTGTGGTCCCAGGCACACAGCATCCCCCAGAGCAATATCTTCAGTGTCTCCTCTCTGACTTGGTGACAGCCACCATACCCTTTACCCTGTCAGTCTGGGGAAGGTCCTCAGCACAGCTCTGACACCAAAGTACTCGACAGATGATACATATTGGGTGGGTCCAACTTGTGAGGCAGGGTGGCTAGCTGGACACTCACAACCCAACTAACAGTGTGTCAGGTCTTGTCTCAGCTTCCCTGGGTCTCAGCCCCTCCCCGGAGACGGAGGGGATGGCAGTGGCTACCTCGTGAGTAGGTGGGTAGGCAGGTGGTCACGTGAGAATCAGTGAGGTCGGCATCTGTACCCACCAGTTTGGGCGGCGCTGCCATCACTTTGCCTCTTCCCTTGCTTGTCCCTGTCTGAAAATGGGTTCCCTGAGCTCGTCCCACACTCTGTCGCCACTCAGATCTGGCTCATAAGCCTGTCCAAGGAGGCTTCCCCACATGGTGCTTGCCCTGCTCACCTCCTACCCTGTGACTCCTTGGCAGGTTCTCCGGGGCCTGGCATATCTCCGGGAAAAGCACCAAATCATGCACCGAGGTAAGATGCACAGGAGCCCCTCCTGGGCGCTGAGGCCAGCGGGTGGGCCTGAGCCATGCCTCACCCGCTGGCTCTGCTCTCAGATGTGAAACCGTCTAACATCCTCGTCAACTCCAGAGGGGAGATCAAGCTGTGTGATTTTGGGGTGAGCGGGCAGCTCATCGACTCCATGGCTAACTCCTTCGTAGGAACTCGATCCTACATGTCTGTAAGTCCTCCGAGAGGCATTTCAACATTGCCTGCCGCATCTTCCTCCCTCTCCCTTTGGCTCTTCCCCATTTTCCAGAAGCTTTTTCAAAAGCCTGCATGTCCTCATGGATATACTGTCTTCTTTCTTTGCTGTATTTCTTCTCTCCAAAATTCTAATTTCCACCATGTTCTCACTCAGGTTTGTCTCTGGGAATGCCTGCCTAGCTCCTTCCCACTGGTAATAGAAATCCAGTCAAGGAGAGTAGTCAGTTAATATCTGGGCTGAGAAACTAGCCCCCAGGTATTATTTTAGGACACATCTGGGTAATGACTGGAGCAAATTCTGAGAATTTAGTCTTGGAATTTCTGTCTTGGGACAGTCATCCTTTTCCAAAAGTGTCAAGGGTTTGTGCGGGGTTTTAAGGGCTGCTTCCAGTCCGGGATGGAAGCTTCCGTCTCCCGAGGTGGGTAGAGGGAGGAAACAGAATCACTCTGGTCTCCTTGGGGGTGGCAGGGGTCAGGATGGGGCTGAGAGGGAGCAGTAGAGAGACACTTAGATGCCACCCTTGGCCCAGCGAGCCACCGCAGGTGGCAGTGTTCACCTGTCTCCTTTTGGACCTTTCTTTCCTCTGTCTTACCCAACAGCCGGAGCGGTTGCAAGGCACTCACTACTCGGTGCAGTCGGACATCTGGAGCATGGGCCTGTCCCTGGTAGAGTTGTCCATTGGAAGGTACCCCATCCCCCCACCGGATGCCAAGGAGCTGGAGGCCATATTTGGCCGGCCCATGGTCGATGGGGCAGAAGGAGAGCCTCACAGCATCTCGCCACGCCCAAGACCCCCCGGACGCCCCATCAGTGGTACGGCCTAAGTCTGGCCCTTCCGGTCTGGATGGGCATTGACCTGTGCAGGGAATGCCGTGTCGGAAGATGGCAGCTGACTCCCCTCTGGCCCCTCTTGGCACCACCTGTCCCCTGGGCCTTTCTAACTGCGGTCAGCAGTCCTTAGATGGTCCCAAGGCTTTTAGGGACGTGCTGGAAGCAGCACTCCTGACCTGTGCCATCCGGGACAGCTGCACCTGTTGTTACCAGCTGGTGGGATCTAGAAACCAACCCCTCAGCCAAGCCACTGGTTGGGTTGGTTTTTCCAACATTTTATCACAAAAACATCCAGGCATACAGAAAGGCCAAAAGGCTTGCCCAGTGAATGAATGTATGCCCACTGCCAAGCCGCTGCCCAGAACGATCTGCTGTGTTTGGGCCAAGCCTTCCTGGGAGACCCAAAATTGAAGGGAACTTGACTCAGAATTTCCTTGGATGGTTTGTTGGACACACAGGCAGCACAGCATGGGAAGGGACAGGAGGCTAGAGGGGCACTGGGCTCCCAGACAACTTGCAGTGGCCACCTGTAAGGCAGTAGACTAAGGGGTAGCCACCAGTGATGCAGTGGGCTAAGGGGTGCAGGCTGATGCTCTGATGCTTCCATCACTTTGAGTAGGGGGCCAAGGGGGAGAGTCACAGATCAGGTGGTAACCTGGGAACAGCACTTGACAGGAAGGGAGTCGAGTTAAATGAGAGTCCAAAAGAACATACAATGGACTGTGCTCAATTGGTTTCATAACAGTTTTATTGAGATAGAATACAGTAGCATATGATTCACTCTTTTCAAGCACATAATTATATAATTCAGTGGATTTTGATATCCTCATGAGGTTATATCCGATCACCTCTATCTAATTCCAGAACATTCCATTACCCCAAAAGGAAACCCCATCTCTGTCCCCTCTCCAGCCCTGGTACCCACAAGTCTACTTGCTGTCTCTGAGTTTGTCTGGACATCTCACGTAAACAAGTCATGCAGTGTGTGGGCCTTTACGTCTGGCTTCTCTCACTGAGCATTGTTTTTTCTTTTTCTTTTTAAGATTTTACTTATTTATTTTTAGAGAAAGGGGAAGAGAGGAAGAGACATCGGTCTGATGCCTCTTGTCCTGACCAGGAATTGAACCAGCGACCTTTCAGTTTTGCAGACCAGTGCTCAATCCACTCAGCCACATCACCAGGGCGAGCATCATGTTTTCAGGGTTCATCCATGTTCTAGCAAGTGTCAGTGCTTCACTCCTTTTTTTAAAAAAAATCTTTTTTAAAAAGATTTTATTTCTTTATTTTTAGAGAGAGGGGAATGGAGGGAGAAAGAGAGGGAGAGAAACATTAGTTGTGGTTGCTTCTCATGTGCCCCCAGCTGGGGACCTGGCCTGCAACCCAAGCATGTTCCCTGACTGGGAATCAAACAGGCGACCCATTGGTTCTAAGGCTGGTGCTTCACTCCTTTTCATGGCCAGATAAGATTCCTCTGTATGGATGGACCATGTTTTGTGTCCATTCACCATTAAGGGACACTTACAGTGTCAGATGATGATGTTCACAGTATTTTTAGATCCAGACCTTCCCCTTTACTGGGGCCACACTCAGACTGCCAGGGTGTCTTGATTTCCTCTATGCGAGAATCTTGCCCCCATTGATGTCCTTAGGCTTTGCCTCTGTGCCTCCCAGTCCAACTCCCAAATGGCCTCCTTGGTGTTCTCCCCCAGCCTCTTCCCAGCTGAGAAAAGTGGGTCATGCCCAGCCACCTTGGCCTGCCAGCACCTCCTCCAGCCCCTGCTCCAGCCCTCATGCCCGTTTCAGGACAGGACAGAATGCAAAAGTCTAAGTGCCAAACCCAGACCTGGCCAGCTGAGTCTGGGACAGGTCAGCCACCCCCAGCTCACCACCCCTCCTGGGGTGTGTCTGGGGCTATTGTTGTCAACACCTGACACTCCATAGAGGGTCATCCTGCTTGTAATCAGCAAACCGCCACCACTGAGCACTGCACCTGTGTGCTGCTAAGCACAGGGCTGTGACGGCACCACCTGGACGCAGCGCCACGCCAAGTGTCTGGCTGCTCAGACAATGCACCTGTTCGTTTTGGTGCTTTATTTTGTTTTTTAATTCATTAGGAGTGAAGTTACTTTCCCAGAAAGTGAACTTAGTAGTCAGGCCAGGGGAGCCTTCCCCAGTTCAGGCCAGTGTGGGCAGAAGAGTACCTGGCTTACTCCGCATGCTCAGACCTTAATGCCCAACGGAAACACACCAGCCACTTACCCATCTCACCCCCATTTCTATTTCTCCCCTGGACAGGTCATGGGGTGGACAGCCGGCCAGCTATGGCTATCTTCGAACTGCTGGACTATATTGTGAATGAGGTGGGTGCTGAAAGCATGTCTTCCCGCTGACGGAATTATGCTGTTGCTGCAGGAATGCATTCCCAAAAAGAAGGGAACATACAGACTGGATTTTGTTGGGGAGGGAGCCATGGGGAGAGTCAGAGACAGTTCTTTCTTTCTTTCTTTTTTTTTAAACAAGATTTTATTTTATTTTTTAGTGGGGGAAGGGAGGGAGAAAGAGGGAGAAAAACATCAATGTGCGGTTGCCTCTTGAATGCCCCCTACTGGAGACCTGGCCTGCAACCCAGGCATGTGCCCTGACTGGGAATCAGACCTGCCACCCTTTGGTTCACAGCCTGCACTCAATCCACTGAGCTATGCCAGCAGGGTGGAGACCGTTCTCTTTCAATAGGAGGTTATCAGGTATAAAAATACATGGCCTTACTTCTGGCCATACTGCAGAAATCCACCTCTCCCCAAGGGACATGTTTTTGTGTTTTTAGAGATGAAGCCAGAATTCCCACCGCAGCCCCCTCCAAGGCCAGTACCAAGGGTTTGGGCCAAGGAGCTGGGCTGCTCCAGGAGAGCTGTTACCCAACATTTCTTTCTCTGAGCATCTTGGAGCCAGTGTGGGTGAAGTCATAAATAGTCCCACTTCCTCGAGGAAAGTCAGGGTGTGCCCTCCCCCCCTTCTGGGAAGGAGGCACAGAGACCAGGAGGGGTGGTGTGAATAGTACCATTGTACTGACAGGTAAGCCAAGGCCTAACGGTGGAAACAGCCCCCTTAGAGATTTGCAGCTAGGAAGGGGAAGAGCAGGGCCCGACCCTGAAGCCTCCCTCTCAGCCAGGTCTGCTCATCCCCCTTGGGCTGCTGGGCTGACGTGTGTTTTCGGTGGCCCTCTGAGTCAGGGCAGAGAAGTAGGGAGGCCAGGCTGCCCCGTGGTGTGGGGCTTGGCCTGGGCTGAGTGGCCTGGGCGAGCCTTCAGTGGAGACAGAACAGGGCGGGGTACCTGGTGACACAGCTCTGCTTGTACCCCACAGTGCCACCCAGTGAGTGCCTCCCGCCCTGAGTGGGGCAGCTGGGTGCTGGGACTGGGGAGGTGGACGAAGCTGAGGAGGAAGCCCTGCGGTTTCCACTCGGATGGTCTCTGCCCACGGCCTCTCCGTCAGGGGCCTGATCCTGCCCCTGACTGTCCCCACTCTGGGACGTGTGTGGCAGGCCAGGAACCTTAGGCTCCCCTAGCTTTCAGGCCCAAATCCTTGTAACTAGCCACCCCCTTGGTCCAGACCCACATCTCATTCAAGACACCCACAGGCCAGGGCCGGTGTGGCTCACTTAGTTATAAGGTTGTCTTGTAGACCAAATGTCACGGGTTCAACTCCTAGTCAGGGCACACGCCCAGGCTGAGGGTTTGACCGCCTGGTCAGGGGGCTACAGGGAGGCAACCAATAAGCGTTCCTCTTTTACATCAGTGTCTCTCTGTCCCTCCCTCTCCCCCCCCCACCTCCCCCGCTCTCTCTCTGTACCTTCCTTTCCCCCCTCTCTAGAAGAAGCGAAAAACAATTTCCTTGGGTGAGGATTAAAAAAAAAAAAAAGACACCCACAGAGGTGGGTGGCTCAGACAGTGTGAGAGCACTCTCGTCCATAAAATGAGGGGGAGCCCTGCTCTCCTTTGCTGTGGAACCAGTGTGACCCCCAAATGAGAGCTTTCCAAAGAAAACCCTGGGAGAGTCCAACCTGGTTGGCAGAGCTGGTGGCAGGTCCTGCTGGAAGCTGCTTGCAGAGATGTAGGGTCCCTGAGTGCCATGCTGCCCACACACACAGGGCTGGGAAGTCCGATCTGCGGCTCCAGGGGCATCGTAGACGTAACTCCCACGTGTCTGCTCTCTCCCACAGCCCCCTCCTAAGCTGCCCAGTGGTGTCTTCACCCAGGACTTCCAGGAGTTTGTGAATAAATGGTAAGGTGCCACAGCCTTCAGTGCAGTCTCAGGTGGGCAGGGCTGGGTGCCAGTCCCTCAGAAGCCCACCTGCCCCCTGGAGTGGGTGGGCCACCAACACTCCCAGCCATCAACCTAGATGCGTCCTTCCTAACTGGCCCTGGCCAGACCCCTCTTCGAAGCCTACCACTCAGGAATGCTGGGCGGGTGGCAGCATCCTGTAGGACACCTGTGGTTACCTGAGAGCCCAGATTCCCTTTCTAAGGCTGCTAAGTCACTGTTCAGCTGCCATCCCCAGCTCATCCCCCTTCCCAGAGTGAACCGGCATCACAGGCACTTTGGAAGTAAAGCTGTTCCCATCTTCTGCCAGCACACTCCCCTAAGCCCTCAAGTCCTACTGCCTACCAGCTTCCAAACGAGCCTTTTTAGCCAGATTCTGGGAAATGATCGTCTGTTCTGGACGATCCCACCTTCTGAAGAAGGGCCTCCGGCCAAAGACCAGGAGGGAGGGGCCAGCACCACCCCACCCACCTTTAGGGCCATCCAGCCTGTCAGGGCTGGCTGCCTTCTGGGGACTGCATGACTTGCAGCTGCAAACCTGCCTGGTGGTGAAGGTGCTGCTGGCCTTTTGTATGACCTCTGGCCAATGCCATGTGGCTCAGATCTGGTTATCCTTTATCCGTGTGAACATTTCTATATCCATGCAAGGTTTTCTCTGTGTTTGAAGATCTACCATTCACCCCAAGCTGCTTTCAGCAGCTGCATTAGGCAGTTCTGCTTTTTTGGAGGAAAAAGTTCCATTTTGATGATCGGACTCCCAGACTTTGGCGGTTTTACTGGAAACGGAGCTGCGGTTGCTTCTGGGCCTCTGACTTGGCGGCAGCTGGGGGTTTCCCCACCTTTGCCCCCTTTCCCTCTTGTCCTGGCCTCAGACCCCTGCCCGAGGCGTCTTGACCTTGCACCACAGGGCAGCGCTGGAGCCCTCACCCCTGGAGACCAGGCAGCAGAGTGACAGCAAGTCCCCATGGCCACCAAATAACTGCCCTGTCTTGTCTCCCCATGTTCTGTCTTGTTGCCCCACCTCATGGAACCCCCAGCCTCATTAAGAACCCAGCCGAGCGAGCAGATCTAAAGATGCTCATGGTGAGTGATGCTGCGGATTCTGGGATCACTGGGGGTGCAGGCTGCCACCCAGGGCTCTTTCCACTTCCTCAGGAAAGGAAGACCCTGGCCAGGCCTCCTGACCCAGCTTTTGTCATGGGGTGCTGGAGGACCCCTGTGAGCCTCCTCGTCCACAGTGGGAATGATCCAGAGCGGTCTCTGCCCTCTCAGCCCTTAGGGGAACATAAGGACTTCAGCGGTGCCTGGGTGGGATTGTTTCTGGAAAATGATGGGCTCTAAGCCTCCTGGGCCACTCCCACCGTAGGCTTGTCAAGTCCCCCACAGGTCAGGGAGGCCATAGAGTTGGTGCCTTCCTTTCATGTCCACACCTTTCAGTGTCCTTAAAAACCAAGGTGGCCACTGAAACTCACCTCCCCCTCTCGGGACCTTTGCATAGGTTGCTGCTTCTCCCTAGGGCACGCTTCCTGCCGCTCTTCAGGCTTGCCTGCAGCGCCGCCTCTGAGAAGGCCCGGCACCGAGTCTAATCCCACCACACTGTTAGTTGTGCAACAGGCGTTCTCCCGGTTGTAGTCACTGTTTGCCTTGGTCAGGATAGGAAGCCTAACCAGGAGCACTGTGGGGGAAGGGTGCGTGATACAAGAAACCCACAGCTACTGTAAAATATACAAACATGAAATAGAGAAACATATTCATGTTGAAATCCCTGCTAGTGTTTAGTGCTTCCCCCTCCCAGCTTTCCCCTTCGCACTGTGCAGGGCAGCCTTCCAGCTATGTCTGTACCTGGGGAAAACTCTGCTGCTTGGGGCCAACGTTGCACCCACTCCTCCTATTGCCCTGAGACCACAGGAGTTCTGTTCCCTTCTTTGGCTTTTCCCCCAAACTTGGACCAACCTTCAGGAAGACGAGGGTGGTCTCGCCTGCTCCCAGCTTACAAAGGAGGCGGCAGTTGGGGCCCTGGCGAGGTGCCTCAGCTGATTGGAGCATCATACCATACACCGAAAGGTCATGGGTTTGATTCCCAGTCTGAGCACATAACTAGGTTATGGGTTCTGTATCCAGTCAAGGCATATATGAGAGGCAACTGATCAATGTTTCTCTCTTTCTCTTTCTTTTTTTCTATCTAAAAAGCAATAAAAAATATATCCTCGATGAGGATTTTTTATTTTGTAAAGATTTTATTTATTTATTTTTAGACAGAAGGGAAAAGTGGAAGAAAGAGAAGGAGAGAAACATCAATCAATGTGTGGTTCCCTCTCATGTGTTCCCTGGTGGGGACCTGGCCTGCAACCCAGGCATGTGCCCTGAGTGGGAATCAAACCAGTGGCCCTATGGTTTGCAGGCCGATGCTTAATCCACTGAGCCATACCAGCCAGGGCAGGGTTTTTTTAAATTTTTTTTTTTAATGCAGGCAGCAGTTGGGGTCTTGATGTCACATGGGAAGACTAGACCCCTCCATGGACTCCAGGGTCCTGCTCTCCTGCCCTGGGCCGCCCTTCCAGGCTCACCCTGGTTAGAAAGCTTCCACTCACCCTACCCATCCCAGAACCAAGAAGCTCTAGTGTTCTGCTGTTCCTGCTGGAACCTCCAAAATTAAATGACTTAAAACGAAATGGATGCACAAACCCATGCTTCAGCCTCATAAGCCGTATTTAAAGGGCCCAGGAGCCTCTTGTGGCCGGGGCAGCCATATTGGACGGTACTTGCAAGGACTTGTACCTTCACAGGCAGTTCCATTCCAGATCATATGGTCTCAATCTGGAGCGACTCTGCCTGCAGGGGACACTAGGTCATGTCTGTTGATATCTGTGGTTGTCACAAACTAGAGATACTCCTGTCATTGAGTGGGTGGGGGCCAGACATGCTGGGTCACCACTCCAGAGTACCCAGGACAGCCCCCCAGGACTCACCTGGCCCCAGTGTCAGTAGTGCTGAGGCAGAGACCCGGGTTCCAGGGGGCTGTGGCAGCCTCCCTCTCCCACCGAGACCTTGTGCTATATCGGGGTGGCTTTGGGCATAGCACTTCCCTGCTCTGGGTTTGCTTTCTCTCCGCGTCCTGAGTGTGTCCCCCTGCACGGAAGGACTTTTCTCTTTTGGGGTTTTAGTCTTGGATGGCCTGCCAGGTCTGAGCAGAAGCCTGGTCCCCTTCCCCTCCCTGCAGACACAGGGCTGTTCACCACACCTCTTCTTCCCTTTCAGAACCATGGCTTCATCAAACGGTCCGAGGTGGAAGAAGTGGATTTTGCTGGCTGGTTGTGTAAAACGCTGCGTCTGAACCAGCCCAGCACGCCTACGCGTACCGCTGTGTGATGGGTCCAGCAGGCTATCTGTCCGAATCCCATCTACCTGCCCTTCCCGCCCAGGACAGACTGGCTCCTCCCTGCCTCTCCTGCCGAGCCTCGGAGACAACGTGCACACGGCGGCACATTCACTTCCTCTTCTACCTGTCCCAGCCGAGGGCCCTCTGCTCTCGGGGGAAGGGTGACACTGCCCATGTTGTCTCAGAACCTGCTTACTTAGGTTTGAAAACACAAAACAGGGAAAGAAAATGCAAACCAAGCCCACTGTACTTGTTCCGTTTGTTCTTTGGGTGTCAGCCTCCAGTCCCACCCCAGGAAGAACAGTGTCCCTTGAGGTAGCCCTCGCCCCCAGCCAACTGGGCCACAGAGAAATTGGGGTCGGGGTAGCGTCGGGAACTGGCTTCACCCTTTTTGCAAAGGGATGAAGCCTCGGAGGGAACCCCAAGACATTGGGGTCTTTCAACAAAACGGGAAGCCCTGCCTTGTGTTTCTCTGTGTCATCCCCCTGCCTGACACCAGCCCCCTGAAAGGTGCCCCTCAGCAGCCCCAAAGAGCAGTCAGCTGGTTGGTTGTCATGAGGTCCACTTCCCCCCAAGCCACTGCTGCCTCCTGTCATACAGCCTGGTAGAGGCAACCCTGCCTGTCATCAGCAGGGTATGACCTGCCCCAAAGGGGTCCTGGTCCTCTCCTGTGCCTTAGGAGCAGTCAATTCAGGTCCTCATAGTGGCAGCCGAGCTGCCACTCGACTTGCAGAAAGGAAGTGTTGGGTTTCCAAGCTGTTGGTGTGGTTGAAACCCCCAGCCGATCCAGTAGATAAGGCCTGTGCTCCCCTCGCCTGCACATGTGGGCGGGTGGCACCCTCAGTCAACCCTGCTCGCCTGGAGTGAACCAAGAGTAACCATCCAGAGCACGTCACTCTTCTGGGCCCTTGAACTGTTCGTCCATAGCTGGTTGTAAAACAGTGGCGGTAGGTTGTCCTGGTTCCCGTGTCTGGTGGGGTGGCCAGCCTTTCCGCCTTTAGGGCTCAGACAGTAGGAAGTGGGGGAGTCCAGGTTTCCCCCCTCCAAACTGAAGATGTTAAAGCTGTCAGCCGCCCCCTCAATACTTCCTGGTGGCATGAAACAAGCTGATACTTATCTGTGGCAGATCTTAGGGGAAGGGCCCACTGAGCAGGTCGTGGCCTGGTGCGATCCAAGCTGGCCCGGGCTTTCCGGAGAAGGTGCCGCAGAGGGCAGGGGCTTGTGGCCCTGTGGGGACTGCTGGGCCCTTAGGGAGACCCACCTAGTCCTCTGTGTGTTTTTTTCCTGGGGACACCAAAGAAAAGACTAGGTGGTGGTTCTTTCAGCCAGATTTCCAGGGTTCTGCCACTTCATGGTGTTCCCCCCAAAGTCTCACCTGACTTAGAAAAAAATAAAAAGGTAACAAAGTTAGGAAGGTGTTGCTCTGAGAGGACCCTGGCTCCCTCGTGGCCGTCCTCAGAAGGGGAAAGGGGCCCTGATGTGTGACCTGCGACTCAGTCTTGGCCCGAGGCTGCCTGGAGCTGGTGGTCACAGATGGTCATGTCTTTGGGCCTGTCCTGTCCACCTTGGTCCCCCGTTAGTGTGGAACCAGCTGCCATTTACAAGGAGTAATAGACCACGTTGATGGGGGTTGGTAGGGATTGGAGGGGGATGGTTGGAAAGTGGGTCCCTCCATAAGCATCGAGGGGTCTAGGTGCTGCCCCCATGACCGTCCACCCCCAGTGACACGGGCCACTCTGCTCTATGCTGTACCGTTGCTTTTGCTAGGATCTGTTGGCACATCCGGATCTAGACAGAAACAAGCTCTTTCTCTTCCTGCTCTGCATTAGAACCAGGCTCCTGGAAAGTGGGGGTCACACCAGAATGCGTCTGAGCCACTGCCAGATGGGTTTCTGGGTGTCTTGCCCCCCTTTCCCTGGGAACAAGCCCAGACTTTGGCACCCTCTGATTCGACACCACAGCCACCGCAGTTCTCAGCCCAGGCCTGACTGCTCCCAACTGCCTGGCCAAAGGTGGCTGCAGACCTAGGACCTGCACCCCACCCCAGCAATGTCGCCGCAGGTTCTCTTGCAAGGAGGCGAGCTCTTCACAGAACTCGTGACTGCCCTTGGTCGTGGGGTCTCCTGACATGTAGGGGCACAGGCAGAAGTTGTCATCAGGCGTCTGCCCTGGTTCTCAGGAGTGAACAAGTGTATGCCTGTGTTGAGATTTCTCATGCCGGTTCTTAAAAAACCCAGGACAGCCCGGGTTAGTGTGGATTGAGTGCTGGCCTGCAAACCAAAGGGTTGCTGGTTCAATTCCCAGTCAGGGGACCTGCCTGGGTTGCAGGCCAGATCCCCAGTGTGGGGCACACAAGAGGCAACCACACGTTGATGTTTCTCTCCCCTCTGTTTCTCCCTCCCTTCCCCTCTCTAAAAATAAACAAAATCTTTAAAAATAAAACCCCCAGGACAGCCAAATACAAGAGATGACACAAGCACCATGTTGGGGGAGGTGCGTTGAGTGGCAACACCTATGACCCTCAGCACCCCTCCGTGTGACCTCTGTCCAAAAGTAAAAAATCAGGGAACAGATTGGTAAGCTTTAGATTCTTGCAGAATGGGTGTTCTTCTATTTATTTAATTGTTTTACATGGGAAGGTTTTGGTGCTTGGTTTGCAAGAAGAAAGTCTCAAGTGTGTTGTCCATACAAGAGTGCAGCTTGGCGGTACTTTACATGACCCTGTGCTGACCCCTGTGTCCCCACATGGTTCCTTTCTGTGGTGCTTGTGCCTCGCATCCATGAGTAGTCACTGCAACAGCCCAGTGGTGATCCACAGAATGACTGATGGCTCAGCTCCATTAGATGTGACAGGGCCAGTCTATCCAAATAGTTGATTTATTAAGTGATGCCCCCGCCACCATCTTCACCCTGTGAAGTTCTCAGACTAGTTCAGCCCAGCCCCTGGATGGGTGGCATTTTCTTCTGTGAGCATAACAAATGTTACAGGGTAGAGCAGAGTGGGGAAAATTACGAGGAAAAAAGGGCTGCAGAACCAGTAGACCGATCTAGGCGATTTCAGCGATTTCAATTTTCTAGCCGCCGCGACTGCAGCAGGAAAAGAAACAGGAAGGTAATTCACGGTGTGCTCTACTTAACCCAACAGAGCCAAGGCACAACCACTTTCACCCTGTAATCCATATGGAAACTACAGTGGCATTTTATTTGTTTTTAAGAATAAGTTCCCACTTATTCTTTTTAATAAAAATTTATTTTTAGAGAGACGAGAAGGGAGGGGGAAAGAGAAGGAACATCAACATGTGGTTGCCTCTCCTGTGCCCCCTACTAGGGACCTGGCCCGCCACCCAGGCAGGTGCCCGGACTGGGAATTGAACCAGCAACCCCTTACTTAGCTCAGAGGCCAGCGCTCAATCCACTGAGCCCCACCAGCCAGAGCTGTTTTTTTTCTTTATTAGGAAGTCTGTAATATGAGGTTTGCCCTCACAGTACATCTCTTTGGACCCACCACATCTCCAGCGACACATGCGGCCACATGTGCGTCCTTTCCGCACTCTGTCTTCTCCCAGCTGTCATTAGTCCACAGGGTCTCAATGGGGATAAATCCTACCCTCTCCACCCAGGGACACTGGGTGATGTCTGGGGACATCTGTGGCTGTCACGACTTGGGGTGCTCCTGGCATCAGGTGGGGGCCAGGGATGCTGCTCAACACCCCACAGTGCCAGGCACAGCCCTGTACAGAGAGTGGCCCAGCCCAGTGCCCACAGTGCTCAGGAGAGAATGCCGGGTTTAGCCCGAAGGCCTTTTCTAATGTGATGCTGCACAGTCACCCAGCAGCAGAAGTCAGACCCTACCTTGTGTGTCTCTGGGGCAGCCCTGCTGGAAGCCACTGGGCTTTCAGTGTCTAGACCCTAGGACACCATGTGGCAGGGGGGTGTGGGCAGGGGCAGCCCAGAATCTTCTCCAAGGTGGGCAGTTGGGAGACTCTGCTCAGCTGGCCACAGGGGAGGAGGTGAGCGCTGAGTAGGACAGGAAGCCTTTGGTAGGGGAGGCAGAACTGGGCCTCCCTGTCCTGCTCTGCACTCGCAGGTTAACAGGGTTCAGAGGAAGCTGTGACAGTGTTTCCCAGAAAGCTGGGTTTGAGGTGGAGTGGGTGTGAGGAAGGGCAAGGGAGTCCGAAGCCAGCGGGGCCTCCAGCCCCTACCCTGCCCCTCTGGGCTGATTGCTGACCAAGTGTATGAGCCCCAGGCAGGCCACCCAAGGCTGGAAGCTAAACCTTGAACTACTGGCCAGGTGGGTGGAGGACCTGCTTGTTCTGCACTCCCCATGGAAACAATAGGGAGGCTCTGGAGGAGGAAGGAGGTTGGAAAGGAGAGGTCTGGGCCTCATGGCAGCCTGAATGGAGGCCTGAGTTTCAGGTTTCTGCCTGGGCTTCCCAAGGGACAGAGGGAGGCCCACAGAGAAGCACCTGGAGAATCAGAGAGAGGCCTCAGGTGAGAGAGGGACTCGGCCTGTCTCCTCCCCCATGACACCCACCCCAGGTCGCAGGAGCTAGATCGCCTGGGCCAGCATCGCGGTAGTCCCCTGGCTCTGCGGCTTAGGGAAGTCACGCCCCTGTGGGCCTCAACACCCTGCCCTGCCAGAGGTTATCACAGACTGAAGGGGATGGCTGGCACTTGCCGTCCTCCCAGTAATGGCCTCCCCCCCTTACTCAGATCTCCTTCCCACTTCCGTGGGGACCCAGGGTGGGGTAGGGGCTGCCCAGGGGTCCTTGGGGAGAAGGGGGGAGGTACAAGTCTTTCACTTACTCTTGCCTTCCTGTCTTGGCCCCTGCTATTCCCAGTTCTAGAAGGTGCTCTCTTGCATCCTACCCCAACTCCTGCTCAAACCTCAGGCTCAGGACAAATATTCTCCACTTTGGAATGCCAAGGGCTGCCAGACCTCCACAGTAAACCCTCATCACAGCTGCCGCTCTAACTTTCCTCCATAGTCTTAGTCTCATGACCTTAAACTTGGCAGTGGTTCTTCAACATGATACAGAGGCATAAGCAGCAAATGAAAAAAAAAAAATGGTGAACTTGGACTTAGTCAAAATTTAAAACTTGGGTGTGCCCTGACTGGTGGGGCTCAGTGAATTGAGTGCCAGTCTGTGAACTGAAAGGTCACTAGTTCAATTCCCAGTCCAGGCACATGCCTGGGTTGCGGGCCAGGTCCCCAGCTGGGGGCATGTGAGAGGCAACTGATGGATGTGCCTCTCCCACATCAATGTTTCTCTCCCGCTCTTTCTCCCTCCCTTCCCCTCTCCCTAAAAATAAATAAATAAAATCTTTCAAACAAAAAACTTGGGTGCAACAAGAGAGGGAAAAGACACCCCACACAGTGAGAGAAAATACTTGCAAATCCTGTTTGGGAGGACCTGGCAACCAAAAGACAATGGCCCCAATTAAAAAATGGGCAGTGGATGTGAATGGGCATCTCCCTAACCGTGACACGCAAATGGCCAGTGAGCACGGGAGGAGAAGCTGGATCCAGTCTCTTCCAGGGACCGCAAGGGCACCCGGAGCTGGAGGAGGGGGGCGCGCCACGGGAATCAGATTCTTGGGGTCTGGCTGGCCCGCAAAGGGGTGGGGACTACGCGGGGATGCTCAGCGCCCCGGGGCAAGGAGATGAGTTAGCAAGGATGTGGCCTGAGGTCCCAAGAGGGGGGCGGGGTGGGGCGAAGCTCCGTGGGGGCGGGGCTGGGGCGGCCCCACCTCCCACGGCTGGAGGGATGCCTAAACCCCGAGGTGCAGTGTCTCCTGTCTTCACCCTCACATTAAAGAGCAGGAAGTGACTCTGGGGTGACAGCATCGGATCCTGTGCGACTCCCCTTTCTCCTCCCCTGCCCAGGGGGCTCCCCGCCCAAGGGAGGCGGGAGACCGGAGGCACAGGTGCGGGAAGGCTGCTCGCCCACCTGGGATTTGGAGGCAGCCTCTCCCCTGCCCTCCTTCCCCTCCCAGTCTCTCCTCTCCCTTCCCCTATTTTCTCATCTGTTCCCTCCCCTCTTCTCCCTTGGCCTGCCCACCCCCAGCCCAGCGATCCTCCTCTTTAAAGGGGTGGGGCCATTTTCCAGAGCCGAGATCCCAGCCCTACCGGTCCTTCCCTGGAGCTTCTGGAAGCCCCTCAGTCATGTGTTTGGAATTCCCAGGTTCACAGTTGGGCCAGCCTGGTTAGAAGTGGGGATAGGGTTTTCCCAGAGCCCGGCAGAGACTCTGAGTCTGGTGCCACGCTGCCTCTGCTGGGCGCTCCTCTTGCCCCCGGAAAATACCACACATACATTGTTTTGTGTGTGGATGTGCACTGATCAACACCCGTTTCTGTTACCTTAACAGAAGGGCTGCCTGCCCTCACGGCAGCATGATCACAGTAGCCAAAACTGGGAACAACCTGTGTCCACCAACGGATGACTGAATTAACAAAACATCCACACGCAGGTGTAGCGCTCAGCCATGGAAAGGAGTGGGGCTGACACTCGCTGCACCGTGGACCGACCTTGGACACTCAACGCTCAGTGAGAGACTCCAGACACAGAAGGCCACACAGTGTGTGACTCCGTACATGTGACACATCGAGGACAGGCACATCCGTGGAGACAGGAAATGGGCTCCAGGTTGCAGGAGCTGCGGAGGGGGGCTGGGAGTGACTGCTGATGGGGATAGGGCTTCTTCTGGGGCGAGGAGAATGTTCTGGAATTAGACAGTGGTGACGGTTACACAATGCTGTGAATGGGCTGAAAACCACTGAACTGCAGACTTCAAGTGTGTGAACTGTCTAGTCTGGGAATGATATCTCCAGAAAGGTATTATTACAAAAACCAAAACCCACCCTCTCATGTATGTACACACACACTCCCTGTCCCCCAGGAGCTGTGATTGACATCCTCAGGGTACGACTCTCCAGTCCTGTCTGGCTAGCCCTTAATCAGGTCCTGAGCTGCGTGCTACAGAGAGATAGGAATGGGCCTGGTTCCTGCCCTTACGTGGCTCTCAGGCAGGCTTAGATGGCAGTGGATCTGTCTACCGGGCTGTAGACCCCTGTCCTGTAGGGCCCAGGTTGGGGTGGGGCAGGGGAGCAAGGCCGCACCCATTACGCAGGTGAAAATACAGAGACAAGCAGGTGTGCTGGAAAGTTGGCAGAGCACCTGGGCTTCCAGCCCGAGTCTCTGCCAGACCACAGAGCCCCGAGCCACCGCAGGCAGCCTCAGGGTGCACCGTCACTGGAGCCCAGGCCCTAAACTCAGGCCACATGAAGCTCCTTCCTGGTGGTTTCTAGGCCAAGGGTCCCTCGCTGGGTAAATGAAGCTGACATCCTGTTCTGCCTTGGACCTTGCTCCGCCCCCTTCCACTGGGTACATTGTGGGACTGTTCTTGACATTCTCTGGCCCTAATCAGTAAGACTTTGATCTTCCCAGCACCTCTACATGATTCTCAGCTCCACTTTTACGAGGGGCATGGAGCACAGGAAAAGGAGCCCAAAGCCAAGATGTTATTTGCCTCGTCAAAGAGCATGCAAAGCAAACCTGACCTTGACTCCATGAATGCCCAAGCCAGAGGAAGGTCAAGAAAGGAAGTAAGTGGCCCTAAGGGGCCTGGGGTGGATGGAGGCTGCACCTGACACAGTCTGCCCCCAGCCTTTCTTCTTTCTTTCCTGGGCCTGAAAGTGAAACCGGTGACACCAAAGTGAAACTGAAGCTACTGCCTGGCAGCAGCCCGCCTGCAGAGGGGGAAAGAGAAGGAGAGAGCGTGGACTCCTCTGGCCGGCCCACGTGGCAGGCAGTGGGATGGAGGGAGGGAAGGAGGAGTTGCTTTTTAAATTTCAGTGGTTTAAGAACAAAGAAAGGACCAAGCGGGGGCGGGCGGTTGGACCAGAAATGCTTCCACATTCCCCCTTCCACTTTTCCCACTGCTTTTCCTGGTTGTGGGTCCCCACCATTCTGAGTGTCACCAGGATATGCCATCTTACGAATAGCAATGGGACGGTACTGGCCTTGTTCATTTGGGGTCTCTCTGGGTGAAGACAACCAGGGGCCATCTCTACTGGTTACCCAGCTTCAGGCTGTAAGGGCCCATTGCACAGATGGCAAGCCAAGGCCCCTCTAGAGTGGAGACAGGCCACTGGGGTGGGGGGAGGGACAGGCAAGGCAGCAGGATGGGTCCAGTGCGGGGTTGTGCAGAGGACCCCAAGCAGCAGTTTTCTTTCTCTGCAGAGCACAGAGAAGGGGGAAAGCAAGCAGGCAGGGTTTGCAGCATGCAGGATTGGAGTTAGACTCATGCTAGAGTTCTCCTTCGGACGTTTGGGACCGGATCATTCTCTGGGGTGGGGCCATCCTGGGCACTGTGGGGTGTTGAGCAACATCCCTGACCTCCATCCACTTGATGGCAGGAGCACCCCCAGTCCTGACAACCCACTGCCCTCAGCAAATTCCTGTAGTGTGGGGTCAGGTCATAGATATTGTAGTGGGGACAGAGCTCTGAGCCAGGCCCCCCTACCTTTGGAGCACTCCTGAGGTTCTGAGAGACCCCTGAGAGCCACTGTCCTTCCCGGAAGTTGGGTGGGGGGTGGAGTCCCAGATTACAGTGCAAAGATGGAGAGAGGGGCCGGAACTAGGTGGGAACTGCCAGCTTCAGACTGGAAGAGCCCATCGCACGGGTGGGAATTCTGAGCTGTTGTTGCAGTCAGGGGCGGCTCTAGCACCAGAATAGCTCTGCCTTCTTCCACCTTCTGGACAAGTCTGAGTAGCCTCTGAAGTGAGGTGTGCCAGCCCCCGGGTAGACCAGGCATCTACCCAACCACTGTGTGTTCAGAGGCCGCACAAAGTGTCTGCTTCTCAGAGAATATCTCTCCTGGGATGCTCAGAGGGTGTCCCAGGGTAGGGCTCAGGGTGGCACTCAGATGCTCCATATGGCTGCGATTTGCCAAGGAGCACTGAAAGATTTCAATACTTGCACACCTGGTTTGGCCACCCCAGGGAATGCTGGCTCTGCCTGAGAGCACATTTTGGAAAGAGCCCCAGGACCTGGGAGGGGCCTGAATAGGAGGAGGTTTCTACTGAAAGGAAAATCAGAGGGGCTTTTTTGGCACCTCACCTGGCCTCCTTTGTACCTGTGCACAAATTCCAGGTTTATTGGACATCTACCACCTGCGGAGTTCCTGCCCACCAAATCAGCGATTCACCTGTAAGTGGTCACAACAGGATCTGAAGGGTCTGACGCCAGAGGCTGAGCGGGCAGCCACTTGCTCCTGCAGCTGTGGGTGGTAGGTCGGCTGTGTGCTCCTTTCTTCCTCGCGCCTTCACTTGCCAAGTAAAAAACACCGACCTGATGCGGCTTCTTTTCTCTTTTCTTTTAGTCTTTAAAAGAATTAGAACCCCGATTTTTTTACTGTGATAAATTATTATACATAAAATTTACCATCTTAACCATTTTTAAAAGATTTTATTTATTTACTTTTTTTTTTTTAGGAGAGAGGGAAAAAGAGAAGAGAGATGTACGAGAGGATCATTGATCAGCTGCCTCTCGCACACTCTCCGACTGGACACCGGCCCCACAACCCAGGCATGTGCCCTGACCAGGAGTCAAACCAGAGACCTTTGGGGGACAATGCCCGACAAACTGAGCTACACCAGTCAGGGCTTACCCATTCTTATGTGCACCATTCCCTGGCACCGGTCCACTCACACTGTCGTCCCTCGCCTCCCCCCCACCCCCTGCCCCCATCTGTCTCCAGAACTTTCTCACTTTCCCAAACTGACACTCTGCCCCCATTACATACTAACTCCCATCTCCTCTCCCTGCCCCTGGCCCCCACCATCTACTTCTTGTCCCTAGGGATCTGACACCTCTGGGGACCTCACATGAGTGGAATCAAACGGTATTGCCCTTCTGTGACTGCCTTTCACTGAGCATAACGTCCTCAAGGTTCATCCACACCATGTCAGCGAGTCCATCCTTTTCAAGGCTGACTCCATGACACTTCGTAAAAAGCCCCAAGCACTCACCGGGCCTGCAGCAGCTGCCCGTGCACTGCCCCATGAATCCCCTGCTGCAGCAGCCACAGTGGCCCCCTGACTGATTTTCCATCGCCAAGCTCAGTCCCACTCCAGGCCTTTACTGTCCTGGTTCCTCATTCCTGGGAACCTGTCCCCAGATTCTCATTCAGGTCTCTGCTCAAATACCAGCTCCTTGAAGAATTGTCCTTGGTGACCTTTTTTTTTTTTTAAGAACTAGCCCCTAGACAAAACTAGATGTCTGATTCTGCGGGGTCTCTGAGCCATTTTTCAATTGTATAACTTATAGAAAAATGGTAACAATGACCGTCATTCTTGCCCACAGAAATATGAATGAAATGTGCACAGTCACGTTCTGCTTCTGTTTGTAAATTCATTCCAGCATTTCTCATTTGCCTATATATGTTCTTAGAATTTTCATTTGAACCTTTTGTAGCATCTTACTTGTCCCCTCATTAATAAACAAATATTGAGTGAGATAAAATCTTTTGACACATGTTCATTAAAAAAAATGAAAATTAAAAGAACAGTCTCCAGGCCCTGCTCACTGTTCAATTCTTCTGGTTAGCGGCCTTCATTGCACTCACTGATAATTGTCTGAAATTATTTTATTTGTCTCTTTGCTTATTATCTTTATCCTCTACTAGAATGTAAGCTGAAGACCAGGGACCTAGCCTGTAGGAGGTGCACAGGGCTGGCTGTGTGGTCTTCTAGTCAGACCAACTGCTGAACAGAATGTTCTAGAATGATCATGGGGTCCACATCCAGCTCAGTGATCCCTGGGTTCTAGAACCTACCTATGTCCCTCCCTTTTTCAAAACTGGAACATTTACCCTCAGCTCCCTTTCTCCAAACTTCCTCCAGGAATACCACTGAACCAGGGTCCCCCAGGCCCTTGCACCAGCACTTTTAACACCTTGAGCTGTGAGCCCCCTGGACCTTTAGTCCCAAAATCAGTACAGCAGCCAGAAGAGGCCCCTTCCCCGCTCCCTTCTCCAGTCACGGTTGAGAGAACTGTCAATACCCATTGAAAACTCTAAAGACATTGGGTCCAAGTTCTCAAGGACACTTTGCCCTTGTTCTGGGGCTGCTCTGTACGCATGAGACGGGGGGTGTGGCGCCAGCCACTGAGGTCTGGACCCAGAGAGGACCCTGGGCAGCAGGATTAGAACAAAAGAACTGGTTTTAAGAAATACCAGCATGTACGGGAGCATTGAAAGTTCTTAGACTGTGGGGGTGCTGAAGTCTAGGAAGGAAAAATAGCAGGGTCCCTCTTGCAAACTCAGCTGCGAGCCTCAGGTCTGGAGCAATGCGCACTCTCTCCTGCCCAGAGATCACTGGGAGTTCCTTCCAGGTGATCCCTGCAGAGGGAGGCACTCTCGGGAAGTCAACCTGGATCATCCAAGAAGTTTGAAAACTTTATTTTTTTAAAACAATATTTTTAAATTTTAATTATTTATTTTTAGACAGAGGGGAAGACAGGGAGAAAGAGAGGGAGAAAAACATCAGTGTGTGGTTGCCTCTCACATGGCCCCCACTGGGGACCTGGTGCACAACCCAGGCATGTGCCCTGGCTGGGAATCAAACCGCGATCGTGTGGTTCACAGGCCCGCGCTTAATCCACTGAGCTGCACCAGCCAGGGCTTATATAATTTTTAATTGAGATATAATTTGTATGCTGTGTAATCCACCATGTCAAAGCATCTAATTCAGTGGTTTGTAGTGTATTCACAACGTTGTGCAACCATCACTGCCATCTAACATCAGAGCATCTTTATCTCCCCAAAAGTAAACTTCATGATCAATAGCAGTCACCCCATTTCCCCTCCCAACACCTCCCAGCTTCCTAGCAACCTGCCTCTGTGGATGTGCCTGTTCTGGATGTTTCTCATAAATGGAATCACACACTGTGTGACTTTTCTGTCTGGCTTCTCTCACTGAGCATTATGTTTTCAAGGCCCACCCATATTGTAGTGAGTGTCGCTCCTCTTCATGGCTGAGTAATATTCCAACATGTGGACGGGCCACATTCTGTTTATACAGACATTTGTTGATGAACAGGCATTTGGACTGTTTCTAATTGGCTATTATGAATAGTAGTGTTATGGATAGTTATGTAGAAAGTTTTTTCTTTCTTTCTTTTTACTGATGTTCAATTACAGTTGCCCCCATTGCCCCCCCCTTACTCTCCAACATCCTACCCACCCCTCCCCATTGTCTTTGTCCATGAGTCCTTTATACTAGTTCCTTATGTATGTTTTGTGCAGACAGATGTTTTCATTTCTCTTGGGTTAGTGGATACCTAGGAGTGGAGTTACTGAGTCAGATGATCATTCCGGGTTCACCTTTTGATGAAGCGCCAGACTGTTTTCCACAGCACCTGAATCTTTTTCCATTCCCACTAGCTGTGTGCAAGGGCTCCAGCCCCTCCCCATCCTCACCAACACTTGTTAGTGTCTATCTTTTTTATTCCAGCTGTCTTAGTAGGGTACAAGTGGTGTCTCCTCCTGGTTTGACTTGCATTTCCCTAATGACTGAAGATGTTGGACAACTTTTTATGAGCTTTATTGGCCACTTGCATTTTTTGGAAAAAAAAGTCTATTCAAATCCTTTGCCCATTTAAAAAATTTTGGTTGTGCCCTAGCTGGTGTAGTTCAGTGAACTGAGCGTGGGCCTCAGGTCTTGAGTTCAATTCCCACTCAGGACACATACCTGGGTTGTGGGCCAGGCCCCAGTAGGGAGCATGCAAGAGGCATCCACACGTTGATGTTTCTCTCCCTCTCTTTCTCCTTCCCTTCCCCTTTCTCTAAAAATAAATAAAAGCTTAACTTTTTTTTTGGAAAAAGAAGATAAAAACATGTACAGTAAAATGACAGCAAATGCACAATTATTAACAACCACACCTAAAACAAAAAGAAAAACAAACTAAGCAAACAATTAGAACAGGAACAGAACCACAGAAATGGAGATCACATGGAGGGTTAGCAACTGGGGAGGGGGAGGAGGAGAGGGGAGAAAAGGTACAGAGAATAAGTAACAAGACGGTAAGTAGAAAATAGACAGGGGGAGGGTAAGTATAGTATAGGAAATGTAGAAGCTAAAGAACTTATGTGTACAACCCATGGACATGAACTAAAGGAGGGTAATGTGGGTGGGAGGGGTGTGCAGGGTGGAGGGGAGTGAAGGGGAAAAATGGGACAACTGTAATAGCATAATTAATAAACTATATAAAATTTTTTGGGTTGTATATTGTTGAGTTCAAGGTTTCTTTTTTAAATTTTATTTTTTCAATTACAGTTTACAGCCAATATTATTTTGTATTAGTTTCAGGTATATAGCATAGTGGTTAGGCAACAGGATTTCTTTATATATTCTAAGTAGTATACCCTTATCAGGTCTATGATTTGCAAATATTTTCTCCCATTCTGTGGGGTTTCCTTTCACTTTCTTGATGGTGACCTTTGAAGCACATAAGTTAAAGAATGCTACTTTAATGATATTTTTTATTTTATTGTAAGTAATGCATGCATGATACAAAATTCAAAGCTCTCCCACCCTACTCCCTATGCCCTCTAGTTCATTACTCCAGAAGCAACCCCTGTTTATGGTGACAAGAATTATCTGTTTAAAATATTATGTATGCCCTGGCTGATGTGGCTCAGTGGACTGAGCGCTGGCCTGTGAACTGAAAGGTCGCCGGTTCGATTCCCGGTCAGGACGCATGCCTGGGTTGTGGGCTAGGCCCCTAGTTGGGGGTGTGCAAGGGACAACACACCAAATGATGTATCTTTCTTTCACATTGCTTTCTCTCCCTCTCTTTCTCCCTCCCCCTCTCTCCAAAATAAATAAATAAATAAATAAAATATTTATAAAATAAAGTAATAAAAATATTATGTAACGGCAACATAGCCAACATAACTCGAATTCAAGTTCTTCTACTCGTGTGCTATGCGTCTTTAGTAATTTATTCTCTTTGAGCCTCCGTGTCTTCATTTGTGCATCGGGGATGATAACCTGAGCTGCGCAAACGGACTAATGTAATGTGCAAAAGCGGAACTCAGAAAATGGGAGCTGGAGATACTACTCACCCTCGAATAAATCTGTTTGGAGGCAAATTTCAAATGGTTGTCAATTTTCGTATTGCTTTATTGCTAAGATGGAGCTGGTCCTGACACATTCCAGGAACCTGTAGCCAAGCATCTTATAGGAGATCAAAATGCCTGGGGTATGTGTGAATTTTTCACCTTTGGAAATGTTTTCATGTCTGCTCAGATAATAATAGTAACAATAACAAGGACAACATACTCATATCTATTATGTATCGAGGACTTCCCTCCTGTAGGTACTGTGCTATTCAACTATGTTACATGTACCATCTTGTTTCTCCCTTCTCAAAACCCTAGGAAGTCTTTACCATTACTGTCTCCAAAAGACTGAAAATCAGAGAGGCTATGAAACCTGCCCTAGGTCACACAGTAAATCAAACTTTTATACCTTCCTAGGTTGTGAAATAGTATCCACTTGATTTTTTTTTTTTTGTGGGTGGGGGGAGTAGGGACTGAGGCATGGGTGTCAGGACGAATCTGTGCTTCCCTCCCTCATTTTGTTTTAACTGCCTGGGCAGGAGTGGGCGTGGAGTAGGGGTATGCCATCCTGGCCTTTCCTGAAGGACTCACCCCCAAGCCCCTCTGGCAGGGCCCAGAACCAGGTCAATTCGGGTTTCAACGTCCTTGCTCATGGTCCCTCTCTGGGCCTCAGTTTCCTCAAATGTAAGGTAGAAATCCCAGGACCCCTGTTTTTCCCCAGGGTGTAATCAAGATTCAGTGCCAACTTTACCCAGGAGTCCCCTCCCCTTTCTGAGTCAGGTTATCAAATGTGGAGAACCAATGCAAGGCACCTGAGGTTGGGTGGTGGTCCTGGGGCAACTGACACCACCCCCTCCACCATCACCCCACCCCCGTCTAAGAGCTTATAGCAGGGGAGTAAGACCATTTGGGACTAAGGCCTGAGCTTGGGTTATTGGCAGGAGTCCAAGCGCAATCCTGAGACCTGCAAATGTTTCTACTTGGCCCTTTTAGTCCCGAGGGTGATAGCAGGGTGGTTTAAGGAAGGAAGCAGGACTTACACGCGGGGCAGGGTCGTTAGAGCAAAGTCCTTCAGTTCCACCCTCTCCCTGTATCCGCCGGCCCCTCCCTCGGTGCCTTCCCACCTACTTGGGGCTAGTTTAAGGCTTCCAGTCGCAGGGCTATTACTTCTTCTCTGGGGGCCTCATGAGGTTCCCCTTGAAGCCAAATTATTACAAAAGCCATTTCAACCTGTTTGGGAGTTTAAAGGCGCTTTTTAACACGTTGTGTGAGAGGCAATAAAGTGCTGGGTGGGGTGGGGGACGAAAACTTTGAAGTCAGAGAAAGTGAGACTGGGTCCATTTCACCTATGGTAGTGGAAGTTTCCTGCCTGTAAGGTAATGGTGGCAATAATGCTAATAACTAATAATAATAACTAATGATAATGATAATGCGATTAGATGTTAGAATGGAGGTAAAGGAATCCCGGACAGAGCCAGCCACTTGAGAAGCGCTCAGTAAACGGCAGCTATAAAGCAGGTGCTAACCCTCTTAGTCCGAGGGAACGAGGAAAAGGAAACTGAGGCCCGAAGCCCCCCAAGCTGCTGATCACAACAGTCAGCCCTTCCTCGGGCGCTGTGTGTGGTGGGCAGCGGCCGGGCTGGGTCAGACTGTTCTCACCACTGTCCCCTCCTACCCCTCCCCCGTCCCCCGCCAGACCTCTCCCACGACCGGGGAGGAAGTGGGAGAAATAGGGAAAAAAAAAAAGTTGGCTGAGCCAACGCCTCCCCAGTCCCCACCTCCGCCCCTCCGGAACCACGCAGACCCTTTCGGGAGCGGCACGCAGGACCCAGGCGTCCGGTGCCGGGTCCCTGTCCCGCCCAGCAGCCCGCAGTTGGGTGGGGGAACTAGGAAAGCCTGGAAAACAACCGTCCAACCCGCCCCTCGCCAACCCTTTCCCCCGCTACGCCTCTGGCGCAGCGGGCGGAGGCGACTCCTTTATATAATCGCGGGCGGGCAGGTTGACTATTTCATTTAGGGACCCGGGAGCCCTGCGGACCCGAGCTGTCACCCAAAAGCCCGCCTCGAGTCCCTTCTACGGTTGGGCAAAAACGAGGCCCGGGGAGGGCCAGGGGCCGGCCCAGAATCCCCACCCTGCCGCCCCCCACTCAACCCCAGCTGCCGGGGCAGCCGCGACCCACGCCCGTGTCCGTCCTAGCAGTGCGCACAGCCCTCCCCACCCCCGCTGCCAGCCTGCCACGCCCCAGGCGTCGGGGGCAAAGCCCGCGCCCCCCCCCGCACCCTCCCCTGCGCAGAGGCTGGGGGCCTGTTTATCTGGAGGCCCCCACCCCCCTCCACCCCGGGGGGCCCGCTCCCCCCCGCGCCCCGGGGAGCTCTGGGGCCAGATAAGCTGGCAAGCTGGCACGGCGCCGCGCAGTGGGGCGGAGAGGTCAGAGGAGGGGGGGCGCGTTGGGGGCGGGCTGGACCCCCCCCCAACTTGACAAAACCTAATAACAACCCGGTCTCCCCAGCGCAGCGGGCGAAACCCCACGGGAGGGCAGAGACGTGGCAAGAGGGGACCTGCTGAGCCTGTTCTGGCCTCCGAAGCCGGGGGGGGGGGGTGGTGCGGGCTGGGCGCGGGGGGGGGGGCCGGCGGCTGCGGCACCTTTAAGACAAGGGAGGACCCCTCTTGCCCTCGGAGAAACCAGGAAGGGAGTCGCGAGCATCATACGGGGCTTTGGCTGTACTGTACAGTTACTGTAGGGGCAGTGACGCCGCCGCCGCCGGAGCGAGGGAGAGACGAGGGGAGGGCGAGCGAGGGGGAGAGCGAGACGCGGACCCCGGAGGCGAGCGGCTGAGGAGCCTAGTCGGAACTCCGGGCCCCGGCCCCGTGCGCCCCGGCCCGGCCCGGCCCCGGCCCGGCCCCGCGAGGTAAGTCAGCGCCAGGCGCGGCCCCCAGCACAGAGTACAGGGTGGGGACAAGCCGGGGGCTCTGCGCCCACCCCTGCCCTCTCGGGAAGGGGAGATCCGAGGAGCCAGGGACGTTCCGCAAGTTTCAGAGGAGGGGGTGGTTGGCAGCTGCTTGGAGGCTCGAGGCGCCCTGGATCCGGAGCCCTGAGAGGGGGCGCCGCCTGGGATGGGGAATTGGGGGCGAAGTGCATGGGCTTGTGCGCCAACCGCCTCCCCCCACCACCCCGGGTGCATGGCTTTTCGGGGCTCCCAGGCGCGCGGAGAGCGGGGGAGGGGAAGTGGGGCTGCATTGAGGGTGGGGGGAGCCGGTGTGGGGAGAAGGGGGGCGCGTCGCGTGCTAAGTTTGTTGCTGGGTACTAGGGGCGCTCTCCCCGGCCCAGGGGCCTATTCCGTGCTGCGTCTATACGTTGGAGTTGGCCAGGATTGAGCTCCATGGGGTACGGGGGGAGGGGGCTGAAAAACAGGGAGGGGGGCTTTGCTGAGGAGGGGGGAGGGGTGGGGTGTCCGGGTGGGCGGGCGCGCTCGCAAGGTCCTCTGGGCGTCGTAGTCTTCCTGCCACTTGCGGCAGGTAGATGGCAGGCGGCTCGTACTACAAGTCCCAGAACGCGCTGCGCTGGCGGCCGGCCGCGGCCCGCGGGTAGGGGCGGTGCGGAGGAGGGGCGGTGAGCGGCGGGCCTGCGAGCCAATGGACGCTGGCAGATCGCGCGGTGCGGCGCTGGGGCAGACCCAGCAGGCTCCGGGGCGGGGCCCGAAGCCAGGCTCCCCTTGCCGGGGGCCGGTGGCTGTCCCCGGCTTCCGGCTGCGCGGCCCGCGGGCCAGCCCCCTTCCCGCCCCGGGGCCCCTCCCTGCCTGGTTGTGTAACCGTCCCCAGCCCCCCCTCTCGGCCCCCTGCCCCGGTGAGGGGGGGGTCACCCACCCGGTGTTCCCGGGGGAGGGCGGCGGCCGTGGTGGCCGCGCGGCGCAGGCGAGCCCGGGGATGCGCGGCCTAGTGCAGGCCGGGCCCGGGCGTGGGGGAGGCGGGCGGGCGGACCCAGATCCGGGGTAATTTGCATCACCCTCCCCCCAGTCCGGGTGGGGATTGGCCGCCGGCGGCGGGGGGTGGCGCGGGGCCAGGCTCACTGCCGTCTCCCGGCCCCTCCGAGGAAGCCTGCCCAGCCGCCGCCACCGCCGCCGCCGGGGCCGGGCCCCCTCGCCGCTGACCTGGGAAGGAGGTAGGAACCCCCCGCTCGGGCGGTGCGGCGGGGGCCCGCAGGCCGGGGCGGGGGCCGCGCGCTGCGGCCGGCGCGGGGGAGGGGGCCGCTTCCTGCTCCTGCCCGGGCCTGACTCATCCCTGGGTGGGGGGACCGGCTTGGCCCCTCGGCCTGCCCGCGCGGCTGCACTGCCCCGGCCCTGGGAAAGGGGACAGAAAGCACGCCTATGCACCGCCCGCGACCCCAAAGCGCGTGACCCTGTCTCCTCTGGCCCGGACCCCCCTCCTTTCCCTTGACGCCACCACCACGTGCGAACCCTGAGCCCGGACAGAGGAGGGGTGATCTGGTGGGATCTAGCTCCCTTCCTCACTCTACCTCCCTCTCCAGCCTAGGAACCAGCCTCCTCCCCCAGCGAGGGGCCTGGGAACCAGGCAGGGGCCTGAGCCAAGTGCTGGAGCTAGGTGCCCCCCCTCCCCGCATCCCTGGGTTCAGGCCTTTGCGGGTTCTGGGAGGCACTGCCCGCGCTTGCTGGGGAGCCTGGTGGACAGCAGCAAGAGACTACTGTCCAACCAGGCCAGGACACCCAGTGGACATCCACTAAATGTTCGGGGAATGCAGACAGCAGTTGGGAGATTGGCAACTCCTCTTTCCCCCCAGCCAGGTGGCGGAAGTGAGAGAGCTGTTGGCGCCCCTTCCCCGGGTGTGCCCACCTGGCTCACCCATGGGTGGCAGGCCTGGTTTGCTTCCCCTTTCCCCGCCAGCTGCCTCCAGGAGCAGGTTGGCCTAAGAGAGGGAGAGGACGTCTAGGATTCCATAAATCCCCCCACCCACCCACCCAACAGGGCCAGGGCGTAACCCAGAGTGTGCCGCTCCCACACTGGGGTGGGGGCCTCCCCAGGACCAGCCAGTTACTTCCTATTGGCAGAGCTGGTCTTGGGAGAGGTCCTGGTAGTCCAGGCTGGGCTCTGCTGCTCCAGGCCAGGGCGGGGGTGGGGGAGGACTTTGCCCCCCCAGGACCACTTTGGGTGGGGCCCCTAGACATGCCCCCTAGAGCATGCCAGGCACTTATCAGCTGGGCTCGGGTCTCTGTTTACCGCCAGCCATCGCTGTGGAGACGAGAGCCTGGGGGATAAGGGGGGGGGCAGGAGTCGGTGGCTGGAAGAGCGAAGCCCTGGGATCCGCATGCCTAATGAAGAAAGAGGAGCCATCGGGGACACTGAAATTTTAATTCGTGGGCCACTTTGGGGGGGTATTTATTGTTCAATTCTGATTGGCTGCCGAGTGGCCAGTCAGCACCCAGGCTGTGCCAGGAGCCACACAACTCTCAGCAGAGGCCCTGGGAGAAGCTGCCTGGGTGGCTGCAGGGAGTCGATGCATCCCTTTCTCTGTGTGGGAGACTGAGACCCAGCAGAGCTCAGCCTTTGTCTGGTGGGGAAGGTTCCAGGCAGCAGCAAGTCCTGTGTTTGCTTTTTTACTTCCCTTCTTTTCCTGGGGGCCTTTGACCCACAGCTGGGTCAGGCTGGTGGCAGTCCCCATCAACATTTGAGGAAACTGAGGCCTAGAGGGGAGGCTGAACATAAGTGCTGGAACTTGGAACTTAAAGCAAACCTCAGAGAGGATGTCTTGTTCGCCAGGGGAGACAGGCCTGGGGGAAGCAGAGAGCAGCCCAAGGTCACCCAGCCAAAGCTGTGCCTGACCCCTGTGGTCTGCCTTCCCGTGTGGCCTTGTTCAAAGTCCTCCTTGTGTCCTACCCAAGGGGCACCTGCCCACCTGTCTTCCACAGGGCCAGGAGTTTGACAGCAAGTACCTGTTGGCCAAACAGAGCCTCCCTGGGACTTATTAAACTCTTTGCCCAAAGAGAATAATGGGGCTCAGAGAGGGCCTGAGGTGCCCAAGGTCACACAGCATGAGCCACAGTTCTGTTTCCCAGCCTTCCCTGGTAGGCACCTTTAAGGCCTTCGAGGCCCTTGCTCCCCCCAAGCCGCAGCCCTGCACCTTGGCCGCCGGAGATGGGCAGGGCTCTGGGTTTTATGACCCATTACACCTGAGGAGGTCACCTCACAAGAGGGTAGGACTCAGGGCCAGTCCCTCTGAAGCTGAGCCAGTCCTAGGAGGGTAGCTGCTGGGCTTTCCAGCGCCAGTGCACTTGCTTCATGACCTTGGATATGCCTGCTGGCCTCTTGAAGCCTGAGTGTTGTCTCCCGCTTCCCCCGTAACATGGGTTTATTGTAGGGTCCCCCCAGGTGGTGCGTGCAGATCTGCCTGTTTTCTTTTTTCCTCTTGTGGAGGAAAACACCTAGGTCCGCTCAGGGTGGGGTGGGGATTCTGCTGGAGTGTGTGCCAGCTGGGTACCTGCGAGACCATGGATTGCTCTGCAGTAGCCCTGGGCAGTGGGGGACCAGAGGAACAAGCTTGGGTGGGGACCACTGTGGTTCAGTTCCAGCCCTGCCCTTGGCTCCACCTGAGGTCCACCGAGGGAGGTCACTTTACCCTGCCACCTTGAATTTTCCCGTCAGCACAATGGGGAGATTACCTTCAGCCTAGGAATGTCATTGTCAGGATTCCCTCAGCAATTCCTCAGGAACCTTTGTTGAGCCACTGCAGTGCAGAGTCAGGGCCTGTGGAAGCCCCTCCTCCATTCCTGTGCTGGTGCCCCTTGGGGTCAGGGCCCCTTCCCTGAATTCATAGGTGTTGGCTGGACTCCAGCCCTGCCCCAGGCACCCTGTGTGACCTCTGGCAAGCCTCTCCCTTTTTTAGGCCATCGTAAGGCAGCTCTGAGGGGGTGTGGGAATAAGCTGTCCTCAGCCCCAAGGTCCCCAGGGTGGGGGATTTAGTCACCTGCTGGTACCTGGGGGCAGTGTGTGGGGGAAGGGGAAGGAGCCCTGGGAGGACTAGTTAGGCAGGACGGAGCCAGGTGGCCTGTGTTAAAGTCTAGCTCTGCTGTGTAAACCTGGGCGAGTCACTTTCCCTTAGTTTTCTGACCTGTAAAATGGGGCCTCAATTACAGACCCTGCCTCCCAGAGCTGTGAGAAGGGATGTGGAGATGATCGAGGTCAGGCCTCTGTTGCCCTTAGGGCCCGAGGCCCAAGCTTGGAGCACCAAAGTGCAGGTGCCACCTGGAGAATCTGGCACTCCTGAGGAGCATGGCCAAAGGACCAGCCCCTCCATCTGTCCTCCCAGCAGGCTGTGGACAGCCACTGAGTAGAAGCATCCCCACCCACATCTTTCTGGTTTAACTGGAAAACAAGGCCTGGTCCCATCTCCCATCAGGATGTTTGATGGGAGGGAATGGGCCAGATTTATGGGCATAGGTCACTGGGGCCCCAAGAGGCTGAGCACCCCTTTGTAGTTTCCAGTCAGAGCCCTGCACCTACTCAGGCTGGGGGTGGTGCCAGTACTCCAGGTGACAGGCAGGCCGTAGGGGAGGGAGGGAGAGGCCTGGAGGCAGAGAGGAGCAGGACTCCTAGAGGTCGCCCAACTTCCCATGGACATCTGGGAGAAGCAGGATAAGCAGGTGCAGCCTGAGCAAGGATGGGATTCTTTGAATCCTGGCTTTGCTTACTTCAGTGACGGGAAGCTCATGCCTTCAACCTCACCCTGAATGGCTCTCTTCCTGGGGCTTCCTCATGGAACCCATTCTGGGGCTGTACTTCCTGGCGCATGACAGCACTCAAAGCATGGGAACAGGGTGAGCCTGAGCCCCACCCATGAGTTGGGGGTCAGCAGGATCCCCGGGACCTCATCCTCACCCGCCCCCCAACACACACTTCCCACTGGGCCTGCAGTCTTCCTGCCTCTGGCCCTTTAAGGCTAGGGCAGGAAGCCCCTCCCCATTTAGGGCAATAAATGGACACATAAAATGGCCGAGGGCCTGTTTGCTGATTTCTGGCCAGAGGGAGGCCTGTGAGGACAGGGGGAAAGCTGGCAATGGGCAGCCAGCAGCTACCCTGAGCCTTTGGTGCCTACCCGCCCCCAGTCGGGACACTGAATTCCGGTCTCATTAAACCCTCGTCCAGAGATTGGGCCAGGCGGGGATTGGCACCAAGTCAGGGTAGGGTAACTCGTCAGGACCAACCTTGCAACACAGGCTGTGTGCCTGGGAGGTGACGGGGGCAGCCAGGCGTGGGCCTGGCAGCTGAACCTGGATACCAGACTTGCTGTGTGACCTTGGGCCAGCTGCCCACCCTCTCTGGGCCTGGTTTCACTCTCCTAGCTGCTTCTTTGTACACCACAACCCACTTCTTGGTACGGCAGGTGGTGAAGTTCAAAAAAACCCCTCATCCACAAGGGGGGAGGTGAACAGCCTTGTTGGGGACACACTAGCACACAGTAGGTCCCCAGGCAACATTTGCTGAATGTATGAGTGGGACTCTGGACTTAGAGCACCCCAACCCCCTTGCCACTGTAACGACCCCTGAGGAAGCTGAGGCACAGAGAGGTGCTCCCTCTTGCCCAAGGTCACCCAGCTCGGAAGTGGAGGAGCTGGGGTTTGGATCTGGGCTGCCCATGCATGTCATGTAGTTGGTATTTGATGTCTCTTTGGTTTCATTTCATATTCTTTGTGGGTACAGGGGCCTTGACCCCTTGTGAAGCTGTCCCTGTCATAGACATTCCTCCAGAAAGGCTTTGGGTGGCAATTACCTGAGGAGTGTGGATGGGAGGAGGAGGCCCAGTCCCAACCCTCACCTTGTGCCTGACCTTGGAAAGCCTGCTGCTTCCTTGGGTCCCTTCTCCCAGGTACCCGCCTTCAGGTCTTCGCCTCTGCTGTTCCAATGCCCAGGATCACCTTCCTGTGATCTCAGGGTCCTTCCTGGGTGGCACCTGCTGCTTCTGGGACCAGGTCAAGGCATTCTTGACCTCACCCCAGTGGCCCAGCAGTTGAGTGGCAGCAGCTCAGGCTGTTTCAGGTCAGAGAGTCTGAGTCCCCACTAGCTGGTCTGGTCATCTCTCCAAGCCTCTCGTCTGTAAAGCCCAGAGTTTTATAGTGGAGAGGATGAAATGAAAGTGCCTGGTTAGCTCCTGAAATTCCCAGGTACAGAGGAGGCCCCCCGTGGAGGGCTGAAAGGCAGCTTGGGTCCTGCCTCCTTGGAAAGAAGCTTCAGCAAGTGATCCTAGGTTTGTTGGGAGGTGGGACCAGCACTGTCCGTGGGTCCTGCGTGTGTCGGCTAGCAGTGGGTGGGGCTGGGTGTGGGTTCTCTCCCTCCCTCCATAGCTTTCATCTGGTTGAATGCTGTGTTCCTACTATGCGCCACCCAGGGGAGGGCCCAGCAGAAGGGCCTAGGAGTGGCCCATAGGGAGGAGGGCACCCCACCTCCAGCTCAGGAGGAACCTGCTGAGGCCTGCCCCTAGGCCCGCCAAATCAACTCAGAGGCCCCAGGGCAGGTGATCTGGGGGATGGAGTTGTGATGAATACAGGTGGGTGTGGGCCTGAGTTCAGGGGACCCTAGCACTGGCTGTTGAGGGGGAGGGGCTTTCTGGAGGAGAAGTTTTGTTAGATTGTCACTACCAAGGAAACCACTACTTATGGGATACCTGCTAGGTGTCCAGTGCCAGGGCACACAGTGGGTGTTTTACTTCCAGGCCGGTCCCACCTGACCCACCAAGAAGGTTCAGCCCTATTCCTTTTCTCATGTAATAGGCTCTTCTGCCTTCTTATTAGAGGGAGAGGCTTGAGAGGCCTGGGTGGGGGTGGTGGCCCTGGGCCTGGCAGGCAGGTGGGATGTGTTCCTGGGGAGAAGGTGGGTTAAGTGTCTGCAGAGCCAGTTTAGTTTCCATGGCAGGGGCGGGGGGCAGCCTCTCAACCTCTTATCAGCTCCTGGACCCCAGAACCCATGGATCAACCTTGATAGTACCCTTGGGTGGGATTCCATAAATCTCTGAGCCTTGGTTTTCTCATCTGTAAAATGGGGAATCCTGCTTCTCTCATGGGACTTTTCTCAGCTGGCACATCCCCAGACCTTGCCCTTTGAGGTGGAAGTCTGATGATTATCTGGAGAAATAGAGTCTCCTGGGAGAGGACAGGTTCTTTGCATGTGGCCCACTATACCCAGCTGGTGGAGGTCAGTGCCCCATGTCAGGCTCAAAACCCAAGCTTGCTCCTTTCCAGCTGGTTGGCTTCTGGCAATGTGGAAGCCTGGGCATCTTAACACTTGAAGTAGGGCTGTGCCAGCCCCCTGGCCTGGTGCTCAGTTGCTCGTGGGAGGGTGGTCATGGGTGGGGGTGAGTCACCTGAACTATTTCAGGTCCCAACCTTGAGGCAGCTGGAGACAGCTCAAGGTTCAAGGGGAACTTAGGGGCACCTGGGGAGCAATGGCAAGCAGGGCCAGGGTAGCCATCTTGTTGCATTGGTGACCTGGATGGGGAGGGGCAGATGAGGAGGGACCAAGGCCCATCTGATCCAGAGCCCCATCTGCCCACTTACTCCCCAGAGCCAGGGGCCAGACGGCAGATGGTGGCAGGGGGCAGAAGCTGCCACAGGGGGCTCCTTGATGGCCGAGCCTCAAGGAGGGTTGACCTCCATCCTCCTGCTTCCAGCAACCACAGCTGTGCTGACCCCCACTCCTTGCATGCGCACACACACACCACCACCACCACCACCAAAGGCTGGTGGAACAGAGGGGTGAGCCGCCAGGAGTGGAGCAGCTGGTGCAGTCTTCGGGAAAGAGGGCGGGCCTTAGAGAGAGACATCCTGGGAAGTGTAGTGCCTGCCCGCCGCTCTGCACAAAGGCCTCTGTGTCAGTCCAAAGGCCTGGACCCCACTCCCAGGGTGGCCCTGGGTTGGCACAGTCCTGTCCTGGCCTTGTGCTGGGCTGCACCAACCCTGGGGTGACGTGCCACGCTGACCACCTGAATCCCACTCTCGGCAGGGTGGCCCTGGGTCTGCACAGTCCTGTCCTGGCTTTGTGCTGGGCTGGGCCACTTGGCTGGGAGGGATCGAGGGGGGTGTCCTGGGGTCCTCGGGAGGCTAAGGAAGACCCAGCTCAGCTTACTCTCTGCCTTCCAGGAGCTCTGGCCCAAGAGCTGACTGGCTGGGCCTGGAGGAATGTGGGTTGTGTTGGGTGGCTTGGGACAGCTGGGGGCTCCCCAGAGAGGGTGGAGGGGTGGGGACAGGAGCCAGAGGGTTGCACAAGCGCCCAGTGGGTGGATGAGTCACAGCCCAGGAGAAGGCGGAAAAAAGGAGGGGTGGGGAGAGGGGTGGGACAGACAGTTCTCAGTGGCCTGGCTCTTCCAAAGGTCTCTGCCCATTTGACAGATGGGGAGATTGAGGCCTGGAAAGTGGCAGGGCTTTGTCCTAGCTGTGCAGTGGAAACGGGTGCTGAAAATTGGAGAGTGCTGGACAGGCAGGGAGCTTCTCCTTGACAGAGTTGGGGGGTGCGGCAGGGGAAAGAAGCATCAGGTGGTAGCCTGGTTTCCCCTATTACTCCCTTCCAGGGCCAAGACGAGTCCCGGGGCCTCCAGTGGGATAGAAAGGGGTTTGTCCTTCAGAGTCATTGCCACACCACGCCAAGGCAAACCCATAGTCCCAATGACACCAGCTGGGTTTCTGTATTTCTGTCTTGCTCCTTCCTACTGTCTCAAGAGCCCCCCCACCCCCACCCACCCAAGAGAACTAGATCTCATCCCGAGGCTGCAGTATGCGTCAGCCTGGTGGGGATGGACAGCCAGGCCAGTTGGGTACTGGCTCTCAGGTCAGACGCCCTGGATTTAGCTGGGGCACCGCTACGGGGTCTTGGGTACATAGGCTGCTCTCCCTGAGCCTTGTCTTCTCACTTCTGCAGTAGAGGTGGTGCTGCCTGTGGAAATGTAGGGGGCTCAGCATGACAGCACACCGTGGGGGCCTTGGCAAGATCACCACCGTGGCCTCCTAGGGAGGGCTTGGGTAGAAGGCTGAGCTCAGATTCACTAAGAAACAGCCTGTGTCCGGGCTTTTATTGAGCACCTACTGTATGTTCCTTTATCACTTCAAATTGCCCTTTGGATGGGCACTTTGAGCCCTCTAGTGGAGGGGCGGGTGCCAGCCTTCATCTCTTAAGCACCCACCGTGGGTTTCGCCAGTGTAATCTCACATTTTGCAGTCTAAGGCAGAACTAGACAGGGACTGCCCTGGTGCACACCTGGGGAAACTGAGGCTGGGAGGGCAAGGTGGGGCACTACTCTGAGGGTCTCAAACACTGGTGGTGGCCCCCCATACTCAACCACCCCTTCTTCCTCCGTGCTGCAGGTCTCGGCACAGAAGATGGCTGGCGGCGTGGACGGCCCCATTGGGATTCCGTTCCCCGACCACAGCAGTGACATTCTGAGTGGGCTCAACGAGCAGCGGACGCAAGGCCTGCTGTGTGACGTGGTGATCCTGGTGGAGGGCCGAGAGTTTCCCACACACCGCTCAGTGCTGGCAGCCTGTAGCCAGTACTTCAAGAAACTGTTCACGTCGGGCGCTGTGGTAGACCAGCAAAACGTGTACGAGATCGACTTTGTCAGTGCCGAGGCACTCACAGCCCTCATGGACTTTGCCTATACGGCCACGCTGACTGTCAGCACAGCCAACGTGGGTGACATCCTCAGTGCCGCCCGACTGTTGGAGATCCCTGCTGTGAGCCACGTCTGTGCTGACCTCCTTGACAGGCAGATCCTGGCAGCCGATGTGGGCACTGACACCGGGCAGCTGGATGTGGTAGATCAAATTGATCAGCGAAATCTCCTCCGCGCCAAGGAGTACCTCGAGTTCTTCCAGAGTAACCCCATGAACAGTCTGCCCCCCTCTGCAGCTGCCGCCGCCGCCAACTTCCCATGGTCTGCCTTTGGCACATCCGATGATGACCTGGATGCCACCAAGGAGGCCATGGCCGCCGCTGTGGCTGCTGTGGCTGCAGGTGACTGCAATGGCTTGGACTTCTATGGGCCTGGCCCCCCAGCTGAACGGCCTCCAGCCGGGGATGGAGATGAGGGCGACAGCAACCCGGGTCTGTGGCCAGAGCGGGATGAAGACAACCCAGCTGGGGGCCTCTTTCCACCCTCTGTGGCCCCGACGGCTGCTGCCACACAGAACGGTCACTATGGCCGGGGTGGGGAGGAGGAGGTGGCCTCGCTGTCAGAGGCAGCCCCGGAGGCAGGAGATTCTCCCGGCTTCCTGTCGGGAACAGCCGAGGGCGAGGACGGCGATGGGACTGATGCAGACGGGCTTGCTGCCAGCACACTGCTACAGCAGATGATGTCGTCGGTGGGACGGGCAGGGTCAGCAGCAGCGGGGGACAGTGATGAGGAATCGAGGGCAGATGATAAGGGGGTCGTGGACTACTACCTGAAGTACTTCAGCAGTACCCACGACAGTGATGTCTACCCAGCGTGGTCACAGAAGGTGGAGAAGAAGATCCGGGCCAAGGCCTTCCAGAAGTGCCCCATCTGTGAGAAGGTCATCCAGGGCGCTGGCAAGCTGCCACGGCATATCCGGACCCACACTGGTGAGAAGCCCTATGAGTGCAACATCTGCAAGGTCCGGTTCACCAGGTGAGCCTGCGCCACTGTGGCAGGGGGCCGAGGGTGGTGGTGGGTTTCCTGGGTTCTTTGCCCAAACTGCAGCCACGTGTGAACTCCCTCCTACACACACACACACACACACACACACAGAGCGCTTCTGTGGACAAAGGCAGTGCTGCTCTGCCGTGGAATGACACCTTCTTCATTTCAGGACATCCCCACGTGCCCCTTGAGAGCAGCCTTTGGGTGGGGAGAGTGCAGGCACTAAACCCAATGACCACACAGAATCTAGAATGTGCCAGGTGGTGCTGCAGGAGGCTGGAAGGAGGAACACCAGCATTCACCCTTCTTTTTCCCATGGGTAGTTCTTCAGACTGGGGGCGAATTTTTGCCTTGGGAGAGGCCCACAGCCCAGTGGGAAGCAGAGAGCTCTGGTGGTTTGAGCCACTTTACATCTGCTGTGAGCCTGGGAACTGGCTTCACTCGGCCAACATTTATGCACCTGCTAGGTGCCAGGCAGATCAAGGTGCTGGGGATGCAAAAATAGAGAGACAGGCCGAAAATCCCCATGGGGCTGACGGAGCATGTGTGAGATGGAACTGCAGAATTGATAACACTAGCTGGTGGAACACGCTAGAGAGGAAGAGAGCGAGAACAAGGGGATGGCTGTGGGTGCTGCTGTGAGCAGAGCTGAGACCTTGAAGGAGGGGAGGGAGGGAGTTGTGGGGAAAGGGAAGGGCGGAAGAACAGCCAGTGCAAAGGTTCTGAGACCAGTTGAGCTTGGAGGATCACTGTGGCCAGGGGAGGGAAATTGGCACAAGAGCCACAGGGCTTGGTCCTGGGGCTGGAGTTTGAGGCTGGGCTAGGCCGGCGGAAGTTTGTGATTCGGTCTTAGAAGTCCAGAGGTAGCCGGCTGGGCCTTGTGGGCCAGCCTAGTGGGGGCAGGGGGCTGACGTGTAGGGGCCTGGCCAGGCTGGGTGACTCAGCACCACCCCCTACCCCCACCCACCCTGGGGTTCCCCCAGCCACACCTACCCATACTGAAGAAAGAAGCCATTGTCCCAGCTTCCCAGCTCTGCCCTGTGGGGACAGGATGGGGTGGGGGCTGACCCCTAGACCCTTCCCCAGCAGGCCAGGTGAGGAGGATGTGGCCTGCATTCTAAGGATCTAGAGTGCCAGGCAGGGGCAAAGGACACCACTGGGAATACGGGCAGTGTGGTTGGTGGCCTAGCCCACCACTTTGGTGAGATTGTGGTTCTGGTAGTTTTGGGGGTCCCCTCCTCCAGATGGGGGTATGGAGTTGACTGTGAGCCTTGCCCTCAGGGGTCCCTGGCCTCTGAGGAACAGCTTGGTGAGGGCATAGCAAGCCAGGGTCTGGAGAGGGGAACAGGCTGACCTGTGACCCCCACCACGGGCCTCAGGCTGTTTCATTCTGACCTGGAGTTCTCTTGGCCACCCCAGTCCTAACCCAGGGCTGATCTCATTTGCAAGTCAGGGAAACCGAGGCACAGAGAGAGAGGCACCGGGCCAGGTCTGTCTTCTCCCATAGGCCCACCTGGCTTCTTTCTGTCCCTGGCCTAGGTCCCCAGCCCCCACCCCTTCCTCTAGGCCCAGGGGCCCCTCTGAGTCACACTAGAGAGTTGAGTAAGCGGGGCCTGTGGCGGCAGGGGCTATAATTACCCGGGCTGGGGCTTGGGGTGATGAAACTGGAGTTGACTCCACCTCCACCCCAACTTGGCACAGCCCCTGACCCACCGTGCAGCTCGGTGCAAGTTACTTCCCCTCTCTGAGCCTCAACTGGGACAATCTCTGTGTAGTGCTGGCACTGTCAGAGTCCCTGCCATCCCCTCTGTGACCTGGTCCCATGCAGTGGTCTGGGCAGGGCCCCTGGGAGACTTGGCAGAGCCCCAGGCAGGAGGCCTGTTTTCTCTTCCTTCTATGGATTAGAAGAGCAATTCGGAGAGGTTTAGCCTTTTGCCCATGGCCCCACAATAAGCAGAGTCCAAGGCTCTTTTTCAGACCTTTGCAAGGGAAGAGGGGGTCTCTTTGTACCCCCTTGTACCATTTTGCCCAGGACTGCCCCTAGCCACAGCCTGCCTTTCTGAAAGTATCAACCTCAAGGCCAGCAGGGGTCAATGGGTTGTCTCGGGAGGGGGCACGGCCCAGTGCCCGCTGACCCTCGCCCCATCCACAGGCAGGACAAGCTCAAGGTGCACATGAGGAAGCACACAGGTGAGAAGCCGTACCTGTGCCAGCAGTGCGGGGCGGCCTTCGCCCACAACTACGACCTGAAAAACCACATGCGCGTGCACACAGGCCTGCGGCCCTACCAGTGTGACAGCTGCTGCAAGACCTTCGTCCGCTCCGACCACCTGCACAGACACCTCAAGAAGGACGGCTGCAATGGTGTTCCTTCACGCCGTGGCCGCAAGCCCCGTGTCCGGAGCGGGGGGCTGGGGGGACCCGACCCCAGCCCTGGGGCCACTACGCTGCCCAGCGCCCCCGCCCCACCCGGCTCCCCTGAGGCCCGGCGCAATGGCCAGGAGAAGCACTTTAAGGACGAGGACGAGGAGGAGGAGGAGGCCAGCCCTGATGGCCTGGGCAGGTTGAATGTAGCAGGCGCTGGCAGAGGGGGTGGCGACGGGGCCACTGGGACCCCTGCCGATGGCAGTTTTGCGGCTGGACTCGCCTGAAAACCAAAAAGAAAAACAGAAAACCCAAGAGACAGAAAGAAAGAGAAAGAGAGAGAAATCACCCACCACCCCAAAAACATACAAAAAGAAAATTATCTATATACAGATATCTATATCGAGATATATATATATACAGATATATATATATATATATATACATATATATATATATGAAGCGTCACAGAATCTAGGATAGTGCTTTTCTCAGATTTTTCTCTTTCATGATGTTCTCTCCCTTCATGGGGACTCCTGCCCTCCACCCCCCAGCTCCCCTTCCCCCCATCCCATCAGTGGGTTTTGGGGCTTGGTTTGGAGTTTATGGGACACGAGGGCTCTGAGTTCCCTCCTCCCCCCAGGTGCCCCCAGCATGGGGTCTGGGGTCCCATCCAAGACCTGGGCAGGGCCCCAGGCCCCAGGCAGGGAATCGGGCTGCTGTAGGGGGCGGGGAGGGTGGGGCTGGGGTGGGCTTTAGTTTTTTCCCCTTGCTGGTTTCTATGAGTCTTTCAGATAAGACCTTAAATGATTTCTGTCTGCTGTGAGTGGACGTTAAATTGGTCCCCATCCTTCCCCCCACCCTCCTTCCTCAGGGCACTTAATTAATAAGTGGGGGTCTCCCCCTTGATCTCCCCTACAGTCTCGTAGCCTCCTGTCCTTGCCTGTGGTCCCCTCTATCTCCTGGCCACTGCGACAGAAATCTATTTATTTCCAGGTGTGGAGAAAGGGGAGAAGACAAGGGAAGAGGGGGCACCAGGTGGCTCCCAGGGGCTCCTGCTACCTTCCTTCGTGGCACTTAAAACCAGTGGGGCACCTGGAAGCCACAGCGTAGAGGGCCCCAACCACCTCCTTCTTTGTCCCCCCGACCAGGCCACCTAGACCCCCGCACAGAGTTTGGAGATTCAGAACCTGTCTTTACCCTCTCCTTTCCTCACCTCTCCCTGGAACCCTCTCCCAGTTTTTTAAAGCACTTTTTAGATTGTTTTCCCCTCTTTTCCTCCTTAAAAACAAAATTTATATATATAGAGAGAGATATATATATTAAAATATATACTTTTTCTCAGAGGAGCAGGTAGCAGTGTGGGGTGAGACAGCCAAGGGCAGAGGGAACCCAGGGTCTTGCAGTGGCAGAGATGAGGGGAGAGAAGAGTCCAGAAGTTCCAGTGTCACAAAAGCAATAAAAAGATTTTACAAAACGAAAGGAAAAAAAACAAAACCAACCAACCACGAATAGAAGTCTCGGCACTTTGTAACAGAACGGGTACTATATCTTAATTTAAAAACATGTTTACAAGTTGCAACCAACTTCTATGAAAAGTTGAAAAGACAAAAAAAATAAAGAGTGAGAGAGAGAGAGAGAGAGAGAGCAAAAAGAAATTCCTAAAAGCTGATTTATTTTTGTACAAAATAATAAAAAAACCCCACCACCAGATGTAGAATCCACTTCTGTTCCCCGAGGTGAGAAAGGGGTCAGGAAGGCCGTGGGTGAGGGCAAGGTCTTCTGAGGGAATCCGTGCTTCCCCGTGGGCCTCTGCCTGGCAGGCGGGGCTGCGGGGTTTCGTGTTTCTGTCATGTCCCTTGTTCCCACCCATTCTGCCCCCTTTTTGGTTCTGATTTAGAGATGTCTCGTTACCCACTAGCCATACAATGGCCACCCGTGTCTGCGGGGACCCTCCTTACTGACTCCCTAGCTCAGGGATGGGCCCAAGAAAGGGCTGGCCTTCCAACCAGCCAGAGCAACCCAATCTCCCCACCCCCCACCACCCCCTGCACTTGACCCCCAACCTTGCTCTCCCCCTACCTTTGCTGCTTCCTGGCTTTCCACCTTCCAACATGGCCACCTTTCCTTGTGGCCACCGAAAAGCTGCCATCTTGGGTATGCCATCCCTGTCGAGGTGGGTGACAGGGGGCCCCTCCTCCAGGGCCTTACACCCCCCGGGCACCCCTCTTTTTACTCAAAGGCACTGACTGTCATCTGGGGGCTGGCACCTGCCTCCCCCAGCCTCTGGCTCCCCAAAGGCCCGGTGTTCACCGAGCCACAGGCCACGGACTGGGGCCAGGGCAGGGGAGACCATGCTGCCAGAGGCCAGGGCACCTTCACCCCCTTCTGCATATGCAACGCCTAGTCTGGGACCCTGTATATAGGCACATCCTGCTGAGCTCAGATCTTCCTCATCAAAGCCCGAGGTGGGGAGGGTGCCCCTGCTCCCCCCTCTAGTCACTGGCCTGTCTCCTGGTACCCGTTTGCTCTGTGACAAACCCCGTCTTCTCATCTATTTCATTTTCTTTTTTTAAAGGGAAGCTTTTTAAGAAGGCAACATTCATCACTGTTTCTACAGGATAGTTTTCGTCTACTCCCGGCCTCCCCCAGCCCTTCAGCCCCACAAAAAATGTCTCAGGAACCCCCCCTCCTGAGGGGGGTGGCAGGGGAGCCCAGGGCCGCGTGGCCTCGTTCACACCCCAGCATCACTGGGAGAGCTCTTTTCAGAGGACCGTCTGTGGAGGTCAAGCACAGAGCTCAAGCACCCAAGCCAGGGGTCCCCCCTGACCCTACCCCGGCTCCCAGAGAGGTTCCCTGAGGGGATAGCCCTCTCCCCTACCCACACACCTCCTTGCAATAAAACCAACTGAAAAACTACAGCTGTCGTCCTGGCCAGTGGGGGTGACTGGACTTGGGGGAGTCGAGGCCTCTGGGACTATGGTGGGGGCATGGGCTGAACCCCGCCGAGCACACTTTAACACAAAGCTCCTTGGGAATTGCACTAAACCCCAGCTTCCGCAGCCCTGCCCACCCACTCCGCCTTAACCCCTCTTCTGCTGCCCGTCAGCCTGTCCCGGGGGCCACAGCATCTGCATGGGCCCAGAACTGGGACCCCCTACCCGCCCAGCCCAGCCTCCGATTCCGCGCAATCACATACTGTATATAGATGTGGATCGATTTTATTTTTATTCTTTAAATTAAGGTTGTGATAAAGTGTTGCCAAAGATACTGCTGAATTCTCACGTTTCAGGAAACAAAACAATATTTGAGGGGGAACGTGCTGACTGGTTGGAAAGGACACAGCAAACAGTTTTTTTGTTTGGTTGTTTGGGTTTTTTTTGTGTTTTCTTTTTTTGGGGTGTTTTTTTAACTGCCTGGTACAAAAAAGAAAAAAGAAAAAAGACAAAGTGAAATTGTTCTTTCCATCATCTTGGTGAAGTTGCGTGGATGTGTGCGCGCGCGTGTGTGAGAATGAGGTCCAGGCTGGGGAGCTCAGGTGGAGGCTCCAGGGCGAGCTCTGCGGCAGGGGTTGGGGGCCCGGAGCCCCCACCTGGGGTGCTCTCCAGCCTGCGGGGCCTGGAGAGGAAAGTGAATATCCTTGCTGCTGCTCCCTGCCTAGCCCCCCTACCCTGACCCTGACCCTGCCTTTTGAGATTAAAAGAAAAAAAAGGCCAAAAAAAATAATAATAATTTAAAAACCAGTGAATGTAAAGTGCCGGACCAGGCCCAGCCTGGCACGGGTGTGGGCCTGTGTCCAGCCAGGCTCCACGGGCCATACCAAAGTCTGCCCCCTCGGGCGGCCTGCCCAGGAACCCCATGTGGCCATCTTGTCTTGTCACCCTGTTTTTACAGGGCTGTCCCTCTGCTTCTTTCTGAGGAGGGTCTCAAGTGGGAAGGGAGGGTCCTCCAGTCCCGTCCAGGGTCTTCTGGGGAGTCTGCACTACTGAGACCCGTCATCTGTGTCACACATGGGGGACTGAGGCAGGGGCCAGGGCCCTCCGGAACCAAGGCCATCCAGGCGGCCAGGATTGTAGGAGGCGAGACAGAGAGTGAAAAGAAAAAAAAAATTAAAAACTAACAAAAAAAGCAAAAATCCTATTTTTTGAGAAAGAAAGATATTTATATTTGCAGTTTTATTTTAAAAAGTTATTTAAGCTGAGGAAGCAGCCTTCCTGGACTGGCGGTGTTGGCCGGCGCAGGGCGGGTCAGGGCCTGGGGGCCTGGGCACCTAGGAGTCATAACCTCAGAGTTAAGACTAGCTCGCACTAAATATATAAATTTTCATAGTGGGGTAGGGGGCAGGACCAGGAGGTGAGGGGGCTGGGGAGACCCCCACCCCATGGCTGGGGCTGCCTGGAGGCCACAGCCAGGGGTCCTGATGCCCAGGTACCCTCCAACCCCACCCAGGCCCAGACACGAGGTGCCTTGGACTTTGGGGGACCAGGCCTGGTGAATGGGGGGTCGGGGGCACAGAGCACAGACATTCCATAGACTGTATTTGAGAGTCTTTATAAAATGTGGGAGATTTAAAAAAATGATAAAAATGCACTTTTGGGGGGTGGGGGGAGAAGCTTTAAAGGTAATAAAAACAAAAACAAAGACAAAAGATGATGAAAAACCGGACATAAAAAATCATTTTTCTTGTACATAAAAAAACCACTAAACGCAGCCTGTTATGACCGCTGCTGCCTCATTTGCCTGATTTTGATGTTCTGTGTTTTGTTGGAGGGAACCTGGGGTGTGGGGATGGAGGGTTTAGGGGCCCCTTCCACGTGGGTTGGACACCTGGTTTACATCACTTGGGAGCCCCCAACTTGGGTTTCAGAGGACCCAGTGCTCATCAGCTTCACCCTTCCTGCCAGCCTGGGGGTGGAGCAGGGAAGGGAGGGGCCTGGACAGAGTGACTGAGCCTCGGCTCCAGGGTGGGGTAAGTGTCTGGCAGTGCTGGGACCTGCACACCTACAGAGGAGGACACCCCCAGACAAGGGCAGGTGGCTCCAGGAAGGGGCTGAGGGATGGTAGGGACAGACAAGGAGAACTTACTGGGTGGGTTCCCTGGTCACCTCCAACTACAAGGTTGCCAGAGGCCTTGGGCAGGGTGACCTTCACTGGGGAACCCCAAGTCTGCCAGAGACCTCCAAGGTACAGTCCCACATTGGGCCTCAGTGACCTGATCAAGAAGCTAAGCAGGCTGTTCCCCTACATACCCAGGTTGGAGCCCACACACTGGGGAGGAAAGTTGTGGGCTGCAGCCCCCCATCTCTAGGTTGGGGTCACCAACACGGCCATTTCCAGGGCCCTGAGAAGAGGGCCCTCTTCCCTCTTATTGCCCAGTCGAGCTCAGGTCAGCAAGCCTCCCTAGAGTTGGGGCGGGTGACAGAAGGGCACAAAAAGCACGCAGATGACCATTGGTAATGGCCTGGGAGAGGACAAGCAGGACTCCGTGAAGTGGGCTCTTCCACAGCAGCCACAGGGAAGGTGTGGGGCCCTGCCTGGTCCTGGGAAGGAAACACTGCCGAGTTCAGGGTTTGGGGAGGGTTTGGTACAGGCTACAGGTGTCTCCTTCAGTGACAAGGTCTGACCTTACGGGATCACATGACAGACAAGGGAACCCAGATCTCCAATTCAGGCTGGGTGGGGGTGGGGGTGGGGGACCAGTGGTTCCACAGCCAGGCACCACGGGGACCTGAGCAGCCACAGGGGAAATGGAGGCCTCTGATCAGGACAGCAATGGAAGAAGGTCCAGCAGCCACTGCGTTCGTGAGGCCTTTTCACTCACACTCCCGCGTCCCCTCCCGAGGGAGAGCCTCCGTGTCTGAGTTAACCTGAACAATACGGTTCACCCTGTCAAACCGGAAGTAGCACAGTGAAGAGCTGTGCAGCCACCGTCACCATCTAGTTTCAGAACACTGCATCACTGCCAAAACAAGCCCCGTCCCCATCAGCAGTCCCTCGCCATCCACCTCCCCCAGGCCCTGACACTCACTGACCCACTTCCTGTCTGTGGATTTGCCTGTTCACGGGTCACATACATTGAATTAGTGTGACCGTTTGTGTCTGGCTCTTCTCACTGACCATATTTTCAAGGTCCACCCACACTGCAGCGAGTGTGCTTTTTATGGCCTTTCTACTCCTTTTTTATGGCCAAGTAGTATTCCAGGGCCTGGATGGGCCACATTTTATCCACTTTTTAATTGACAGGACACTGGGCTTGTTCCCACCTTTTAGCTATTGTAAAGCTGCTGGGAAGACTCGTGCACTTTTCATGAGAAGACAGGTTTTCCCATTTCCCTTGGGTGGAACTGTGGGGTTGGATGGTGACACCACACCTGAGTTTTTGGAACTGCCCAACTGTTACCACAGCAGCCGCACCATCCTATGGTCCCAGGTCCTCCTCGTCCTTGCCAGCATTGGTCCTTCACTGTCCTTGATTCTTGCTCTCCTAGTGGTTGTGATTTGCATTTTTCTGGTGACACGACATGGAGCATTTTTTTAGGAGCTAACTGCCTCGCCAGGCCCAGTAGAAGGACACTGGGCCAGGCAGTTCCAAGTGTAATCTCCCTCATCTGACCGAACATGGCGCCTGCTGAACCCTAAACATCACAGCACAAGGGAAAGAGAACTGCGGATGGGAGGTATTTTGGCCCTTTGGTCCCCTCATCCCCAGCTGACACCTCAGACACACAGAGAAGTGGATGCCTCGGTGGCTTCACCTTGACCATTTTATTTGTGTTTTTAGAAAACAATTAAATTAGAATACAAATATTAGAAAACAGCGGCCCTCAGCTGCCAGTGCTGATGGAGAGGGGCTGGACTGCGCAACTGAGTTTATACAGTAAAACTGAATTTTTTGCCCTCAACCAGATTTATGTCCCTTTTGTCTTTAGACCTGAAATGATATTGCTTCCTGACTAGTAGAGTTCTGTTTACACAAAGGAAAATTATTCAAGGGCTGGGGGGGGGGGGGAAGGGCAGGCAGAGGTGGTCTGGGGAAGCATGGCCTCCGAGGGGGCAAGGATGTTGGGTGGTAGGGCAAGCACCCAGCTGTGAGTCCCTGGAGGCATCTGGGGTGGGCTACAGAAGCCCTGTGGTTGCTGGACCCCCGAGGCCAATCAGACTGCTGAAGGGTAGCCCTCAGCCCAGTCCTGTTGGAAGACGAGTATGAGGCTCCGGGAGCGAGGGGGTGGGGGTTCAGGGCAGGCCTCGTACCCGTCGGAAAACCCAAGAGCAAGAAGAGGGGAAGGAACCACCCCCAAATCAAGAGGACGGGGCAGGAGTTCCTGCTGCCCCTTGGAGGTGGCCACCTTCCCGGCGGCGGCACCTGTGGACATCTGAGCTGTTCCGTAGGGAAGTTAACCTGAATTGGAGATACAGAGGTAGCTGGCTAAAAAACTGAGACCCCCCCACGCCACACGGTGCCACACCCTGAAGCCCCCGCCTTGAAGGGGGTCCTGGCCACATGCTGGGTCTTCAAAATACCAAGTTATTGCACTTTCAAAAATACAACACATCTGTGGCTAAACCCTCCCTAGCCCGCCCGAGACCCCACCCACCAGCCCATGCCCCCCACCACCCCACTCCCAGCCCCCAACCCACTCCATGGCTTCTTGGCTAAAAAGCTCACTGCTCAGAGGCCCACTGCAGGGTCTCTGGGCCAGAGGACAGTTCGCAGAAAGAAGAAAAGCAAAGAAAGAGAGATGAATGTCCAAGTTGCGGCTGCCGCCTCAGTCCTCCCTGCTGCCCCACCAGCCCCAGGTCCCTCTGCACCAGCTGGAATGGTCACTGAAAAGGCGGGGCACCCGAGAGGGTGCAGTGTCCTGCCCACCCCTTTTATGGGCTCTGACTCCAGCTGGGGAAGCAGCTGTACGGGTGCCTTA